CATTTTGGCCCATCGGCCTGATATTCACCGTAACACCCGCAGGAGATGGGGCTGGAGCCCTGGTGTACATCGGACCTGCGCACCGGAGAGGAGGCGCGGCTGGGAGCGACTCTGCAACAACTACCCCGATATTCGTGCGCGACGACTCTACTACTTTCAAAGAGGCCGCTGGATCAAACCTGTGTCTACCGGCTTACCTCGGCGTACTACTCTTCGTTTGAGGGGTACTCGATGAGCTTCGTGAACGCTCACTTCGTGACTTATGCCCGTTGCCTTGGATATCACCGATGCCGCTGGCCTGTTGGGGTCTGGGTGGCTGGGTGTGCAGGGCCTGATCGGCGCTTTCCGCTCGTGGTATCGGAGCTCGGTGTCCATGGGAGTGGGGCTCGGGTCCGACCAGTACGGACGGCGAGGGCTGTGACTCGCTTCCTACACAAACCTCCTGGCCTCGGGTGTTGCACTAGTCGTCGTGCTGCTGTCCATGGGAGTACCGGCCGTGGAAAGCGCCGCGTGGGGTTGGGAACCCTTGCGGCAGGGAGTGACTGCGTGTGGTTGGGTTTTCTGGCACCTCTGTAGTCAGCGTTACCGCCGCATATACCTCGGATCGCTACGGTATCAGAAACATGGGGATGATGTACGGGACGATGTTCGCCGTCATGCCCATCGGCAGCGGGTTGGGGGCATTCCTGGGCGGCCTCTTCTACGATATCAGGGGCACCTACGAGATTTGCCATCTAGGTCAACATATGGCGACTCCTGCTGGCCAGCAAGAGAGTGGAGGGCTCCGTGGTTGTGTTTTGTTCCCCGGGTGCTGCGGGATGTTGTAGATTCTGGCGGTGACGAGCGTCCTCCAGAGCTGAGCACCGCGGAGCCAACTCCGGCAGCAGCCACTTAGCTGAAGAACTTACAACAGGCCTAGGCCCCACGGAGCGTTAAATTACCTCTGAGACAGGTAGTTTAGCGCGTTGGCAACATTGGTGGTTTACCCCGTAACCCCGGTGCTTTGCTGGTGCAGAAAATCGGGCAGGAGCACATGGCCCCTGCCCTCATATTCTCAGACATATAACTTGTGGGGGAAGGTCAGTCGAACAGCCGGGCAATAGGCGACTGCGCGGTCTGTAGCAGTCGGCCTGACAGCAGGGTGCCAGGAAATCGTGGCGCTGGTACCCGTTAACGTGAGGCGGCGGCTTGAGGGCCCGCCGCTGGCCGCCGGTCAGCCAGGTAGAGCGCCCCGTCCTTTTCGAAGTGCCCCTCAAATCGAAGAGCCTTCTCGTTTCCGTTCCCCTTGAGGTCGTCGTATTTCAGTCTGGCCCCGAGGGCGGTGGAGACAAGTTCAGGATCGAAGACCCGGACCATCGTAACCTTTCGATTAGAAAACTGACCGGCCTTCTCCAACATCCAGAGTTTGGCCATTAATTCAGGTCCCACACGAAACTCGTGGCTCAAGTACCGGTTGATTGCCTGCGTTACCATCTGGGGCTTTGGGGATTTCCAGAACATTAAACTCATGGAATACCATCCTTCGTGAAATTTCTGAACTCTCGGGCGTCGCGAAATTAGGAGTCTGCTCCATTCCCCACAGAACCGGGCTTGAGGATATTCAACAAACCCCCTACGGCCATATCCTTCAACATCGGTCCATGGAGGGGTCGGTCCTGGTTCACCGTATAGGTATTGGTCCGCCCTTGTCGGGTCCTGGTTATATACCCCGCCTCCTCCAAGTCTGAGACGATCCTGAGCACTGCCCTTTCGGTAATGCCCAGTTGCTGCGAAATCTCTCTGGCGGTGATCTTCGGTTGCCGGAAAACGGCCACCAGCACACCGCCGTGGTTGGTAATGAAGTCCCAAGCCGGCATGTCAGCAAGTCCTGTTATCAGCAAAGCCAGTTAATCGATCCTCTTACGGCCTTTTATATGTAATTTAAATCATGAATTAGAATTCATGGTTTAATATTCACAGTATACCACAATGCACCAGAGAGTATTGTCAAAATATCTTTTGACGGTAGATGGCCGGGGAGCATGTGGTGACGTGGGAGAATAGCAGCGGCGCACCGGCAAGGGTCGACGTTGACCAGACCTGCCTGAAATACGATACGCCAGGAGAGCGCGGCCGATGTTGTCAGAGTGGCGCCAAGGGGAGTCGAATAGCAGGTTGGAGGGCAGAGGGCATGGTGGGCCTGAAAATTTCGACCCCTTCAGGCCACAAAACCGTCATCAGAGAGTCGGTAGTCGTAGACTTCAGGAGAAGGCGGCGAGGGCTACTTCGGCGCCGCCTCTGACCTCCAGTCGTAGCGAGGTCTCCAGCCCAACAGTCGCTGCGCCTTTTCCGTGCTGATTACGCTGGCGGTGCCGCTTAGCCCTTCCCGTATCACCACCCGGTCGCCAAAGTTGTTCTTGACCAGTTCAATCGTGGGCTCGCTGAAACGGCTGGAAGGCTGGGCGATCATGAAAGCTTCGTATTCTTCAATCTCTGCATCCAGCGCCAACACGTGGGCCTCGGCCACGTCTCTGGCGTCGGCGTAGGCCCACATAACCAGGGTCAGGGGGTGCTCCGGTGTAGGGGCCGTCCAGGGGAACTCGGCCTGGACTTCCGGAAGCGCCACGTTGGTAAACCGCAGGCTGACAACCGTGGTGTCTAAAGTGCGAGCGATCATTCTGCCGATATCCTCTCCAACCTGCTTGGACAGGCCGTAGGGCTCAAAGGGCATCATGGGATGTTCCTCGTCCAATGGCAGGTACAACGGCACGAAAGCGTTTCCGTCGTGGGCCCACCCCATGCCGAAAGCGCTGGACGAAAACACTACACGGCGCAGGCCAAATTCCGCCGCCGACATCATGACGTTGAAGGTGCTGGCCACGTTATTTTCGAAGATGAACCTTGGTTCTTCCCGCAGCGGCCCGGGGATAGCTCCCATGTGAACGACGGCTTCCGCGTTCTTGAGAATACCCTCCACGGCCTTGGCGTCGGCGAGATCGCAGCGCACAAACTCTGTTGGAAGGTCATCGGCAGCCAATTGGTCTGTCGCCAGGACTTCTTTGTCTTGCTCAACCAGCAACTGCACAACCCTGCGTCCCAGCCTTCCCGCCGCTCCGGTTACTACTATCATTTTCCCTCCGGTCATTTCCCCGGGTCGAAGTTTTGAATGGCTAACCCCAGATGGTCAATGAGAGTCACATGGGCGGTAGAGTCCTTTGTCTCAGAGGGTTACCAGGTCCTCACGACGCACTTCCAGCCCGAGACCGGGCGCGCCGCCGATGCCAGCCTCTTCGACCACTACCGCGCCGTCGTCACCGAACATCAAGCTCCTCGAGGTGAGGTCTCGGCGCAACAGGTGCGTGCCAAAGGCGCCCTCGGACGCCACAAGGTTGGGCCGGGTCGCGTGCATCACGGTCAAGCCGGCGCGGGTCAGGATGCTCGTCTCCCCAACCTGCGCGCCCACAATCACTCCGATGCCCAGGTTGGCGGCCCGCCTGGCCACATCCAGCGACCGCATGATGCCTCCCATTTTTGAGACCCGCAGGTTCACAATCCAGCGTTCCGGGTCCTGGAGCGTATCCAGTTGTTCGACCCGCAGCAGGCTCTCGTCGAGGATGATTTTTGCCCCGCATTCCACGCCCACACGCTCGAACCCAGCCAAATCGCCCTCATGCAGCGGCTCTTCTATTGCGTACACCTCGTGCGGTAGGGCATTAACGAGGCGAATACACTCGTCGGCCGACGCCCACAGGTTGTTCGCATCGAGCCGTACCCTTAGCCTCGGGTCTGTTCTGTTACCGAACAGGCGCATTTTCCGGCGGTCGCGTTCCAGGTCGCCGGACGCCTTCACCTTGAAGTCCCGGAAACCCCGCTTCCAGTAACGCCGGAACTGCCACCAATAGGCCAAGTAGGGCGAGTCGCCCAACACCGCAGTGTAGAGGAACCGGCCCGTGAGGCGAGGCAGGCCCAACAGTTCCTCGACAGGAACTGCGTTGGTCTTCCCCAGCAGGTCAAGAGCGGCGATTTCAATCGCGCAAAACGCCGCGGGGTTCTGGTCAATAACCTCCTGGTGGGCATCGACCCACGCTCGCAAGCTCAGAACGTCGGTTACGCTGTCAATGAACGAGCCAGCGTTTTTTCGGATGAACGCGGTACCGCTCTCCACGGTCTCTCCCGTCACGTACTGGCGGGGACACCCTTCGCCGTATCCAACCATACCGGCATCCGAACAGGCGGTGACTATGAGGTTTTCCGCCTGCGCGCGGGTTGCAGAGGCGTGTCGGAAAACGGCCCGAAAGGGCACCGGGAAGCTTGAGACCTCCAACCGCTGGATCCGCATTGTCGTTTATTCCATCTCGGTTAGAACGGTGAAATCCAGCCGGCACTCGCGGGCATATTGGAGATGCAGGTACTTGAACTGGGTGTCTCTCTGCCCGGACTCCACACATACAGTGCGATACTGGTCTCCCGCCCCACGCCGGAGCCAACAGACTTCCAGGGGAATCAACCTGCCGCTCTTCCGCTTGGCCTCGTACTCCACGTTCAACTCGCACAGGCGGGAGTCAACCTCGGCAGCGACGGCGGCGCCGGTGCCGCCCCCGCGTCCCCCCCGGTCATCGGCTTCAACAAAGAGGGTGTACCCTGAGGCGTCCTCGTCGGCGATGACGATAAAGAAACGGTGCTGCACCTTCCGTCTCAATAACGCAGTGGGAACTGCGTCAAGCGCCTGGGATTCAGTTAGTTTCTCTCCCGTGATACTGGTAGTCCCCTTGCCCTTCTGAACGAAGTCCAGCGAGGGCGTCTGGTGCACCATTCCGCTGACACGGACTATATCGTTCATATCGTACCGGTAAAGCCCCTCAGGCGTGGTTATGAACACATAATACTCGCCGCCCGGTTCAAGCTCGTGGAGACCCACGAACTCCGACTCCCCCGTTTCCCAGGCGTCCCGTTCGGCAAACTCGAAGTAGGTCTGAAAGAAAGTCGGCAGGCATACGTTGTTTCGGGCGTCGATATTGAGCGTCCCCCGAAACTCGCTGGCCAGATACCCCAATTCGATAATGGGAATATCGGCGGGCAACCGGCCCGACAAGCCATTGAGAGCAGTCCCACAACTCCCGCCCGTCCACGTCGCGACGCCCTTAAGTTCCGGCCAGATATGGTTAAAGTTAAAGCGCCCAACGGCTTCCAGGCAGTTGGACAGGTATGCGGCGCGCCCCGGGTTAGCCTTTAGCCCATGCCCCACGGCGACGGGCAGTGAGTCCGCGTCCGGCAGTTCTCCCGTCGCGATGGCCTTCAGAACAACGTCGGCGTGCTTGTCCGCCACGGACAGCAGCCGGAGGAATGTGGAAGGATTGGCTGTGGCTATGCCGGTTACATTCGGCTCCGCCAGCCCATAAATCACCGTCGCCAGGTATCGCGACTCGTAGTCCTCAATATCCGCAATCTCTGGGGACAGCACGTACCTGGACCGCACCAGCCTCGACTGGCTCTGATAGAGCAGCCCCGAAGCGGAGCCGAAGGGAGTCCCGCCTTCCATCCGGCCTTCAATCGCCTGGCCGCTGATGGCGAACCCCTTCCCCTGCAAAATGGCGGAGTCTCGCGACCAAACATAGGCGCCCAGTTTCTGGTCGCGCTTCATCCGCTCCAGCCCTGACTCCGTGACGGGTATATTCTTGGGGGCGCCAACCGTGCCGCTGGTCCGGTGGTAGTAGACCGGAGGCTCCATGGTCAGGCATGGCTCCCCCGTAAGTTCCTGGCGCTCGATTAGAGGCCTCAGGTCCTCGTAGGTCTGCACCGGCGTAGCCTGACGGTACGTGGCGGCGTCCCCGATTTGCGAGAACGAATGCTGCTTGCCGAACTCCGTGTCAGCGTTTTCCGCCACGATGCGGCGCAATAGCGCAAGCTGGATATCTTGGGGAGACTTTGCCCCTTCCACAAACTCCCGGTACCGACGGGCTTGCGTCAGCTTGAGGCCCGTGCGCAGCAAGGCGTAATTGGCGGCGCGCGGGATGGAGTTTAATGCCTTGGCAGCCATTCTCTGGCCGTGGAAGCTCAAGGCAGCAGTTCCCGGACAAAGGGACTTCTCATCTGCACCAGGAATCCCAGGGGATATCGACGGTTGCGAAGCCCAATAGTCTCAACGTCGAGTTCATTGGGAAGAAACCTCGTCCTGAACAGCGTGTCCCATCCGATGAGGTTGTTGCCGAAGTTACTGTTCATTTCCCGCGCCCGCCTCGAGTGATGCCAGCGGTGCAACTCAGGCCCGGCGACAATGTAATTCAGCGGGCCCAGGTACACCCGGCAGTTGGAGTGCTGGAAGAACCCGTTCAGGGCGTAGAAGACGAAATACGCCGCGAGGACCTCCTGGGAAACGGCCAGAAGCGCGAAGGGCAACGTATCAAAAACGTATTGGATCGATTTTTCGACGGGGTGGAACCTTCCTACGTTGATGGTATACAGCTGAGGCGGTGAGTGATGCACAGCATGGAGTCGCCACATTAGCGGATGTCGATGAAAGGCTCTATGCAGCCAGTACCGCATGAAATCGGCCGCCAACAGCATGATGGCAACCTGCACCACCACCGGAAGGTTGTGGGGCCAGAAGATATTGACGGTCAGCCCACCAGCCTTTAGCGCGCCGGCCAGCCCGATAATCACCGTAATAGCCAGCAAATATGGGAGCGCCACCTGAACAATAATCAGGAACAGCGTGTCGGTACGGACATCCTCCGCCGGGGGTCGCCAGTCTTTGCGGTAGGGCAGCTTTACCTCGTGCAGCACGATGAGGCAGACGCCAACCAGGGCCGCGCCGTAGGACGCGAGCGTCACATTCAAGCCCGCCCCCGCCAGGGTCATGAACAGCGCAAACCCCAGCGCAATGACCACTGGGTAAGAGCCAACTTCTGCCAGCCTTGAAAGGTTCAACTTCCCCTCCTCGTAAATCATCCCCCGTTCCCTTAAAGCCTGAAGCTGTAGATGGTGCAGTGAGAAACTATCCCAAAAGTCCCCGCCCCCTTGATGGGGGAAGGTTTAGCGTGGGGGTGACGGGTAGCGGAATGTCATCCCCTCTGTAAAACCGCAAACTTCACCGCCGATTGGGGGCAGTTTCCAAGCTCTTGCGGATAACGTCATTGCCAGACCGCTCAGGCCTCCGGCTCCTTGACCAACGTCATCAGATAGTGTCCGAGTACCAGTATAAGAGTCGCCAGTATAATGTGAAACAGGGCTGGGAGGCTCCTGGCGAACCATTCGTATTCCGCAAAGAATGTGAGGCCGGCGATGAGGCGGAACGTCATGACCGCCCAGTATACGCCTCCCAACGCGAAGCAGGCCTGGTGTTTCCACGGGCAGGGGGACATGGCACCCGTCTTAAGTCGCCAGAGGACAACAAACATCACCGCCACAACAATCGCCTGCAACAACAGCAGCGCCGGATATGGAATGGCAGACCCTTGCCATGCTTCGAAAGGCGGCAGAAAAGGCACTTCATACACCGCCTGCACCAGTTGGGCTGCCACACGAAGGTCGAACAGGCCCGATAACAGGAACATCAACGGAAGGTGATAGCGGAGGCCCATCGGCAGTCTCCTGTTCCCTTGTTATTGCACTCGTCGGCAGAGTCCAGGCGCGGCAGCAAAGAGGTTCCGCGCGCCATCGGATCCCGCGAAAGTGCTATTGCCAATCCTTCATCCACGAGTCCCCTCAGTTCCTCAACTAAGGATTGACACGATCAGCTAAATGAACAGTCCCGATGAGGCTGAATGCCCTGCCAGGGCCACAGACCTTCTCCCCGTGCTAATCGGCCGAAGCCGGAGGCGGGGTAATGCTTGGGTGTCCACGGTTAAATCAGGTATCTGACTATCTTTGCCCCATGCTCCCTAACACCTGCTTCCGACGTCACCCTGACCCGTCGTCACACTAATCCAAGTGCCGGCGAAGGGTTTGAAACCTTTCCAACAGGTAATCGTCTGCTTATGGCTACGACTTCAGGGAACCCCTGAACATGTCCCTCGCTCCCTGACTGGAGAAGGCTAGGATGGGGGTGCCGGCGCTCATTTCAAAGCTGACACCCCTAAGTTCCCCACAGGCATTTCGGCTCTCGCTGCAATGTAGATTACTTATTCGATGATTCTACAATGATTCCTTATATTCCTGGGCTGCAATCGGAAAAATCAATCCTCGATTGCTCCTCCCCGATATCTCCGGCGTATCACTTCCTGCCGTAATGGGTTATACTGGGGATACACCCTTGATTAGCGCGCCACGGTTTGACACAAGAACGGAACGGTCCCTCCTTCTCTCTGGCTTCTTGTTCACCCCCGCTGATTCACCTGTGTTCCAATCTTAACTTTATGGAGTCCGTTTTCGTATGCCTTATGCTTCCCCGTCTACCCCTGTGCGCCCAACCAACCGTGTAAAACACCAGGCCGTTTGCAACAACTGCGGCTTACCGGCAACCCTCCCCTTCCGGCCCACCCAAGGCAAGCCGGTTTATTGCAACTCCTGCTTCAAGGCCCATCGCCAGGAGCTTCCCGCGCGGGATAATGCCAAATCCGGCAGGTCCTTCAGCCCAAACAGGCAATCCCTTCCCAAGGCCCCACCTGTTGACGTAGCCTCGGCCAGGGACAACGCCCTGACTGTTGATGCCCCCCTCACCGGTGGTACGCCATTTACCGAATTTCCTTTGAAATCTGCAACTAAAGCAGCTATTTCCCGTATGAACATATCGAAGCCCACACCGATTCAGGAGAAGGCGATCCCCCATCTGCTTGAAGGACGCGACTTGATCGGTCAGGCCCGTACCGGTTCCGGAAAGACTCTGGCCTACGCTGTACCTCTGGCAGAGAAGTGCGAACCGACGGTCCGGGCGGTCCAGGCGTTGGTGCTTACGCCCACCCGAGAGCTGGCGATCCAGGTGGCCGGGGTCATAGAAGCCCTGGTCTCTGCGCAAAAACTCAGCGTTGCGCTTCTGTATGGAGGTCGGTCTCTAAGGCCGGAGTACAAAGCATTGAGGAACCGGCCCCAGATCATCATCGGCACCCCGGGCCGGACTCTGGACCATCTAAGGCAAGGGACACTGGACCTGGGTTCGGTGCGATTTTTGGTGCTTGACGAAGCTGACGAAATGCTGGATAGGGGATTCGCGCCCGACGTCGAAGCAATCATCGGCCGGACACCCAACCCACGTCAGACGGCGCTAATGTCCGCCACGATGCCAGACTGGGTGGCCAGGACCGCCGCTAAGCATCTCCACCAGCCGGTAAGAGCAGAGGTGGACGCAGGTATGCAAGCGCCTCCCACCGTCGAGCATCGGGTCTACAGCATCCAGAAGAATGACAAGATGGAGGCACTGCGAACCCTGCTTGATCGGTGCGACGGTACGCCGGTTATTGTCTTTGGCAAGACCAAGCACGGCGTCAAAAAGCTGGCTAACCAACTCGATTCGTTGGGCTACCCGGCAGCGGCGCTCCAGGGAAATCTGAGCCAAAACGCCCGTGAGCGGGTGATGACGGACTTCCGTTCCGGCGCCGCGTCTATCCTGGTGGCAACGAATGTGGCCGCCAGGGGCCTGGATTTTGAGGATATCGGACAGGTTATCAACTACGACCTGCCAGACTCGGAGCAGTCGTTCACCCACCGCGTGGGGCGGACTGGCCGCATGGGCCGCGCCGGCGAGTCAATAACGTTCATTACACAGGAAGAAGAACGGAAATGGCGTGAGATCGAGCGCGGTCTGGGCCGCCGGTTTGCCCGCCAAGCCTGGCACCGGGCCCGCTAGACCGGCCCGTTATACCGGACTCTTGCAACACGGGCGCTCGTCACGCCCAGTAGCCATTAGTAGCCCTTGATCAGGCTGATATTCGGCAATCGGCGCTCGAAATGAGATACGCGATGCCGCCACGCAGGACGTCAATCCTTGGTGAACATTCTCGAATGTTCGGATATCAGCCCTTCCACCAAGTCCTTCGTGTAACAACGCGCGCCGAGTCCGCTGACAACCGTCACTGGACAGCCCCCGTTACCCCCTTCTACCATGTTCTTGTAACCACCTCAAAAGTCCCTTCCCACTCGACGGGGGCAAGTTAAGGTGGGGGATGACGCCCTGCGAAATGTCACCTGTGGTCACAAGTGATACTTTCACCGCCTGTTTTGGGATAGTTTCTTTGTAATAGGGCCCGTCCTAAACCCTTTTCCACCTACCTGTGGGCAGGGGTTAATGGGCGGAAATGAGCGGAAATGGCAGGAAATAATTTTTTCTCTACCCTGGCCTCGGCAGAGTCCGCCCGCCAAGCCCGACCGTTTAATTGAGAGTGACCTGCAACAGTCCCTCTCATCAATTTGACCGGCTATGGGCCCGTACCTATAATTGCCCCACAGCCACACTGGATCTCCCACCACCGAGTACCCCTCTCCAACGCCGCCAACGGGAGAACGCCGAATGGAAGATATTCTGCCCAGCTTGAAAGAGTGGCAGACCCTGGGCGAAGAGATTGCCCTGGCTACGGTAATCCGGGTGGAGCGATCGGCCCCCCGGCCACCGGGAGCGCGGCTTGGCGTAACCCGCGGTGGCCGGATGGTCGGGTCGGTTAGCGGCGGCTGCGTGGAGTCGGACGTAATCGAGCGGGCGATGCAAACGCTGGACTCGGGCAAGCCGGTAGTGGCCAACTACGGCATCGCCGACGAGTTGGGCTTTCAAGTCGGGCTGAGCTGCGGCGGTTCCATTGACGTGCTGATTGAACCCTATGTCCCGACGGCAGAGTGGGATGCCTTGACCCAGGCAGTGGTGGGCCGGCAGCCCGCCGTATTTGCCGTAGGCCTGGCCCCGAAAGCGCTGCTGGGGCGTAAGCTGACGATTCTGCCGCCTGCAGAGTCTATCGGGGCAATTGCGCCTGAACTGGACGAACAACTGGCCAGGGCGGGCAGCCTGCTGCTGGAAACCGGGGGCACCAGGCTGGTAACCCTGCCCTGGCAAGGGGAGGAAGCGCAGGTGTTTCTGGAGGCATTTGCCCCCCTGCCCAGCATGGTGATTTTCGGGGCCACCCACACCGCCATCTCCCTCAGCCGTCTCGCGGAAGAGGTGGGCTTCCAGGTAACGGTAATCGATGCCCGCAGCGCCCTGGCTACCGAGGAACGCTTCCCGTCCGTCCACCGGCTGATTCGGTCCTGGCCGGAGGAGGCCTTGGCCGAAACCCCTTTGAGCAGCAACTCCTACGTGGTGGTGCTGACCCACGACCCCAAATTTGACATCCCCGCCCTGGGCTGCGCCCTCCGTTCCAAGGCCAGGTACATCGGCGCGCAAGGCAGCCGGGTAACCCAGGAGGCCCGCAGGAAGAAGCTGCTGGAGGACGGGTTTACCGAGGCAGATCTGGAGCGGATAAGGGCGCCCATAGGCTTGGACATAGGCTCCCGCACACCGGCGGAGTTGGCACTGTCCATCCTGGCGGAGTTAGTGGCGGTCCGGTACGGGAAGGCGTAGCTGGGCTAGCCGACAGCCTGGCCGGAGTAGCGCTCCGGCTCCTTCTCAAACTCGGTCAGACAGCCCAGGCAGCAGAAGTAATAAGTCTCATCCTGGTAAGTGGTTAGATACCTGGTTTCGGTGGCGTTGACCGTCATCTTGCAGATAGGGTCCACCGCGGTTGTCGGCGTAGTCACGGCTCCGGTCTCCGCTGCCTCCAATGTTATCCCGCCGCCCGCCGCCCGCATCTTCTGTACCACTTCGGTCAGGATGCTCAGGGCGATTTCTTCAGGAGTTTCCGCCCCCACGTCCAGTCCCGCCGGATATTTCACTCTTTCCAGGCTTTCTGCGGGAATCCCTCTGCCTTTTAGGAAGTCCATAACCGCGCGGCCTCGCCGAGGGCTGGCAACCAGGCCAACGTAGCCAGCCGGGCCATTCACCACGGCCTCAAGAGCTTCCTCGTCGTAGTGGCCCATGGTCGCGACTACTACGTGACTCTTTGGGCCGATGCCGCCCTTGATACTCTCCAGGTCCACGACCAGGGAGTCCGCCATAGGGAACAGATCCAGGCTGGCAGACGGGTCGCAGGCGGAGACTCGGAAGCCCAGGCCGCTGCCCTGGGACACCAGGCTGCGGGCCATGGGCGAGTTGCCAATGACCACCAGTGGGGTTTGGGCAGGAAGGGTTCCAGGTAGATGGCCAGGGTGCCTTCACTCTGGCAGGTCATGGCTATGGGGACTACGCCCTCCAGTCCCAAGTCCATTTCCTCCGGATTGGGTGAAAGGAGGACTACCCGGGCCTGGCCGTCGCCCAGGGCCTTGAGAGATTCCTGGACCACCAGGGGCTGGGCGCAACTCCCGCCGACCCAGCCATAGAAGCTGCCGTCGGCTTGCACAATGGCCTTCGCCCCCGGCTTGGCTGACGTGGGCGGACGGCAAGCCACCACCGTGGCTTGGACAAAGGGCTTGTCCTGGCCCTTCAGCTTTATGACTTGTTCCAGCAGGTCGTCAAACATTTCTTTCCAAACTCTTCAAATGCAGGATGTTGGTAGGGGCGGGTTTGAAACCCGCCCCTACGGCTATTCCGGAAACCCTCGAACTTAAGGGAATGCTTACTCGTCCACCCCGGCGTCCCGCAGGGCTTTCCAGACCTTGGCCGACGTTATGGGGATGTCAATGTTGCGGACGCCCAGGTGCCAGAGGGCATCCACGACGGCGTTGGCGATGGCCGCCGGTGCGCCCACGGTGGCGGACTCGCCGATACCCTTGGCCCCCAGCGGGTGGTGGGGAGAAGGTGTGACCGTCCGGTCCGTTTCCCACACCGGCGTTTCCACTGCAGTGGGCAACAGGTAGTCCATGAAGGTGCCGGTCAGGTTGTTGCCGTTTTCGTCGTAAACCATCTCCTCCAGCAGGGCCGGAGCCAGGCCCATGGTCAGACCGCCGTGCACCTGCCCTTCGACAATCATCGGGTTGATAACGTTGCCGCAGTCGTCCACGGCGACGAACCGGCGTATCTTTACCTCGCCGGTGCCCTTGTCGATGTCTACGACGCAGATGTAGCTGCCGAAGGGGTAGGTCAGATTGGGCGGATCATATGAGGAGTGGGCCTCCAGCCCGGCCTCCATGCCGAGCGGGTGATCGGTGTAAGCAGCAAAGGCAATTTCCTGGATGGTCTTCGAGCGGTCGGGCGCGCCGCGTACCGTGAACTTGCCCGGCTCCCAGTCCAGATCCTCTTCGCTGACGTCCAGCAGGTAGCTGGCGATGGTGCGGGCCTTGGCCAGAATCTTGCGCGATGCGGTGGCTGCCGCCGCGCCGGCGGTTGGGGTGCTGCGGCTGGCGTAGGTGCCCAAGCCGTAGGGGGAAGTATCGGTGTCGCCCTCTTCCACCTGGATGTCACTGGCTGGTATGCCCAGTTCTTCGGCGATGATTTGCGCGTAGGTGGTCTCGTGTCCCTGTCCCTGGGACTTGGTGCCGAAACGGGCAATGGCCTTGCCCGTAGGATGTATTCGAATGTCGGCGCTGTCGAACATCTTGATGCCCAGGATGTCGAAGTGGCGGGAGGGGCCGGCCCCGACAATCTCAGTAAAGCTGGAAATTCCGACGCCCATCAACTCGCCCTGCGCCCGCTTCTCTTCCTGTTCCCGGCGCAAATCCTGATAGCCAATCATGTCCATGGCCTTTTGCAGGGCGCCCTGGTAGTCGCCGCTGTCGTATTCCCAGCCGAATACGGAACGGTAGGGGAATGCCTCCGGCTTGATGAAGTTCTTTATCCGGAACTCGGCCGGGTCCATGCCCAACTGGTGGGCCACGATGTCGGCCATCCGCTCCACGGCGTAAACCGCCTCGGTGACGCGGAAGGAGCAGCGGTAGGCGATGCCGCCGGGGGGCTTGTTGGTGTATACCCCGTCCACCTCCACGAAGGCATCCTTGAAATCGTAGGAGCCGGTGCAGATGTGGAACAGGCCGGCAGGAAACTGGGAGGGGTTGCAGGCCGCGTCGGTGTAGCCGTGGTCGGCGATGGTCTTGATCCGCAGGGCCTCCATCGTCCCGTCCTGGCGGGCGGCCACTTCGGCGGCGATGTGGTAGTCACGGGCAAAGGAGTCGGCCATCAGGTTTTCCATGCGGTCTTCAACCCACTTGACCGGATGGCCGGTCAGGAAGGAAGCGGCGATGGCAATGACGTAGCCGGGGTAAACCGGCACCTTGCCCCCAAAGCCGCCGCCGATGTCCGGGGAGATAACCCTTATCTTGTGCTCTGCCAACCCCAGATGGCCGGCCACCAGCGCGATAACCGTGCGAATGGCGTGAGGCGCCTGGCTAGTCATCCATACGGTCAGCTTTTCCTGGACAGAATCCCACTGGGCCACGCAGCCGCAGGTCTCGATGGAGGAGACGTGGATACGCGGGATGTAGATATCCTGACTTACCGTTACATCGCTCCGGCTGAAGGCCCGGTCAGTCTTGTCCCGGTCGCCCACTTCCCAGTGCCAGATGTGGTTGCTCTGCACTTCCTTGTCCTCGCGGACAATGGGGGAATCGGCCTCCAGGGCACGGAAGGGGTTGACCACCGGCTCCAGCGGCTCGTACTCCACTTCCACCGCGCTGACACCGTCGGCGGCAGTGTAGCGGTCAGTAGCCAGCACAGCGGCCACTTCCTGCCCGTCGAACTTGACCGTATCCACGGGCAGCACCATCTGGGTGTCGCTCATCAGGGTAGGCATCCAGGCCAGGTTGTACTGCTCCAGGTCTTTGCCGGTTATGACGGCCAGCACCCCTGGTATGGCAAGGGCTTTTTCCGAGTTGATGCTCTTGATGCGGGCGTGGGCCAGCGGACTGCGCACAATGTCCAGGTGCAGCATGCCAGGCAGCTTCAAGTCGTCAACGTAGTTACCCTTGCCCTGAAGGAACCGAGGGTCCTCCTTGCGTTGCATTGAATGGCCCATGCCGCTGATTTCCGGCGATGTTCGCAATGTCATTTACGCACCTCTCTCGCGCAGCTTGGCAGCCGCGGACTGGTAGGCCTTGATGATGTTGACGTACCCGGTACAACGGCACAGGTTGCCGGAGATGGCCTGGCGTATTTCAGTCTCGGTGGGGTCGGGGTTGCTCTCGAGAAAAGCGACGCCGGTCAGCATCATTCCCGGAGTGCAGAAGCCGCACTGGAGGCCGTGTTCCTCGGTAAACGCCTCCTGAATCGGATGAAGGGCGCCGCCGACAGCCAGGCTCTCCACTGTCTTGACGTCGCGCCCGTCGGCCTGGACGGCAAAAATAGTGCAGGACTTCACCGGCCGGCCATCCAGCAGGACGGTACAGGCGCCGCAGTGGGTGGTATCGCAACCAATGTGAGTGCCGGTAAGGTTCAGCGTTTCCCGGATAAGATGGACCAGCAGGAGGCGGGGTTCCACGGAAGCTTCCCGCTCCTCGCCGTTCAGGGTAATTTTGACTTGAACCATGGGTGGCTGACTTGCTTCGGTAGTCATGCTAATCTCCTGACGGGGACTTCCCAGCGCTAAACGACTCGTTCCAAAGCCAGGCGAAGGGCCCGACCGGTCAGAACGCGTACCATATCCCGCTTATACTCCTCGGAACCTCGCAGGTCCGCCATGGGCTGGGCTTCGGAAGCGGCCAAGCGCGACGCCTCTCGAATCGTATCGTCGTCCAACTGCTTGCCGGCCAGGAAGGTCTCGGCGCTAGTCGCCTTTACCGGCGTGAGCCCCGCGTTAGTCAGGCCAATGCCGGCCTGTTGGCACACGCCGCCGGACATAGTGATGGCAACGGCGACGCCGGCTGTGGCATAGTCGCCAACCTTGCGCTCCAGCTTGAGGTAGGCGTTGCCGCTCCCCGCCGGGGGTGTGGGCACGCGGATGCCGGTAAGGATTTCTCCCTGGGCCAAGGCGGTGGTCAGAGGCCCCTCAAAGAAGTCGGCCACCGGAATTACGCGCTCGCCACCCGAACCGGTGGCTACAACGCTGGCTCCCAAGGCTACCATCGTAGCCGGGTGGTCGTTGGCCGGGTCGCCGTGGGCCAGATTACCGCCGACGGTGGCCATGTTCCGCACCAGCGGGTCGGCGATGACAGACGTAGTGTCGTGAAGAATGCGATAGCCGGAGCGGACCAAATCCGAAGAATCCAGGTCCGATTCCCGGGTAAGACAGCCAATGTGAAGGTTGCCGTTTTCTTCGCGGACATCGGCCAGCCCGGGAATCCGATTGATGTCCACGATATGGGCCGGGGCTGCCAGTTGGAGCTTCATCAGGGGGATCAGGCTTTGGCCGCCGGCCAGTACCTTGGCTTCGGGGCCATAGTCGTTAAGCAGGGAGAGGGCTTCGTCCAGGGTAGTGGGGGCATGGTACTGGAATCTTGGCGGTATCATAAGATCCTCCATTCCAGGCTGAAGGTAGACTTGCTGAATGTAACTTTGGGTCTATGAAAAGTCAATACACTTAGCGGTCCCGTTCGGATTCAAGATATGGCACCCTGGCCTCCACTGAAACATGCGTGCCGACCTTAGGTTTGCTCCCACTGCCAAAGCCTCCAAAGCCTGGCGTTGTCATAGCCCTTAGAGATGCTCCAGGGCCCCCTCGCTCGACAAAGCGATGGCCGATCGGTGACCGCCAAAGAGCGACTAAGTTGTCTCCGCCGGATAGGCCTACACGAAGCAACCTTTGCCCTTCATTCCGCGCTAATACTATATCTGGTTTCCTGATGTTCGACCGCTACACTTGTCAGCTTAATCGGGCACCCGGGCTTCGTGTCTCGACAAGTTAACTACAAATAGCCCTCCAGTAAGCTTGCCCCCGACACTGGGGGCTCCAAAGCTCTCCTACAACCGTCAAGATTCCCCAAGGTGAAATGTGGCACCAGCTTGACGCGATTTAGGGTTGAGCATATTATGATGCTTAAACCTGCAACGCTACTGCCTTGTCATTCAGTTTCTTGATCATATAGAAGGTAAAATGAACTAAGTCTCTTTACCTTTTATAAAATATCATCGGAAATCGTAATAGACAGGGTGTTGCCAGAGGCCTACTAAGTAGATGGATTTAGGAGGATTGGAATGGCAAACCAGGATATTGCATTAATGGCCCACTTAATGCGCCGTGCCGGTTTTGGCGCGATGTATGAGGAACTGGAGGCCCGTGCGGCCAAGGGCTACGAAGCCACTGTGGAGGAATTGCTGAATCCTGACACGCAGCCCGCGATCGAGCGTGACGTTTTGATGCGCTATCAGCCACAGTGGGTTTCTCAGGCAGGACTTGAAGGCCAGCAGGAAGAATGGGCCTTCCGAATGATCAACACCAAGCGTCCGCTGGAGGAAAAAATCGCCCTCTTCTGGCACCAGATTTTCTGCACTGGCCACGCCAAGTGTGAATACCCCCGGCAGCAGCAGATTGAACTCGACATGTTCCGCACCGTGGGCATGGCCAACTTCTCCGACCTGCTGATGGGTTTGGCGCACGACCCGGCCATGGTGTTCTATTTGGACAACTGCATGAGCCACAAGGACGCCATCAACGAGAACTGGGGCCGCGAGCTTCTGGAACTCTTCTCCTTGGGTGTTGGCATGGACGGACAGGCCAATTACTCTGAGGAAGACGTCAAGGAGTGCGCCCGTGCCTTCACCGGCTGGACAGTGACCAACTCCATCCCCAGGTACCCCTACGGCAAGTACGAGGCCGCTTTCATTTACGACCCGTCTGACCACGATTACGATGACAAGACTTTCCTGGGCGAGACGGGCAACTGGAACGGCGAGGACATAGTCAGGATTATCGCCAGGCAGCCCGGCACGGCCCGGTTCATTGCCCGGCACCTCTACAACTTCTTCGTCGCCGATGAGCCCCAGGTACCGGCTTGGCAGGACACGCCGCCCCGGGACCCGGAAGCCATCAAGATGCTGGAAGACGAGTACTTCCGCTCCAACTACGACATCCGCTCGATGCTGCGGGTGCTGTTCAACGCCGATTTCTTCAAGGATTCCCGCTTCACAAAGGTCAAGAGTCCCACGGAGACCGTGGTCGGTACCATGCGCCTGGTCGGCGACTTCGAAATGCCCAAACCAGGCCTGAATGCCATGGCCCTGTCCATACGTTACATGGGCCAGGACCTTCTGAACCCGCCGACGGTAGAGGGCTGGCACACCGGCCGTGAATGGATTGACAGCGGCACCCTGGTAGAGCGTATCAACTTCACCGCTGACGCCGTGGGCAACACCAGCCATCGCGGAGTCCAGGCCATCATCAACCGGCTACGGTCCGAGGGCGACACCATCTCGGCGGAGCGACTGGTGGACGGCTGCCTGGAGTTGCTGGGAGCCTACGAGCTGGCCGACCTGACCCGCAACGAGTTGGTGGAGCTGGCCCGCAGTGAAGGCGAGGTCAATACCGGCGCTGAAGAGTTCGGAACGAGGGTCGGCCAGATGCTGCAGTCCATTGTGTCGACCACCGAGTACCTATTCGCATAACGTAAGGGGGAAATATGACATCCACCAAGAAAGACCCGGTGCTGGTGGTGCTCCAGTTGTCCGGGGGCAACGACGGCCTGAACACTATCGTGCCTTACGGTGACCCCCTGTACATGGACAACCGGCCCAACGTAAGAATTGACCTCGACAGGGTATTGCCCATCAACGACTATATCGGCTTCAATCCGGCTATGGCGCCGATGAAGCGGTTGTACGATGCGGGCAAGGTCGCCATCATTCAGGGTGTGGGCTACCCTTCACCCAGCCGCTCCCACTTCCGCTCTATGGACATTTGGCATACCTGCGAGCCGGAAAAGGTGGGAGATGAAGGCTGGCTGGGCCGCGCCGTTCGCGACCTGGATCCCGGTAAGGAAAACGTGCTGACCGGCGTCAACTTTGGTCGCGGTCTGCCCCGCTCACTGGTCGCTCCCGGTGTTCCGGTGGCCTCGGTGGGCAATCTGGAGACCTACGGTGTTTTAACCGGCATTGAAGTTGAAGAGCAGCGGTCCAAGGCTCTCGACGTGTTTTCCCGGGTTTACTCTCCCATGCTGGGACAGGGCCCGGTGCTGGACTACTTCGCCCAGACCGGCCTTGATGCCCTGGAAGGGGCCGATATTCTCAGCACGGCCCCGGCCATGTATTCGTCCGGCGTGGAGTACGGCGGCGACACCGTGGCCCAGTACATGCGCAACATCGCGCAGGTGCATCTGGCCAACCTGGGCACCCGGGTGCTCTACACTACCGCTCCGTACAACAGCTTTGATACCCACGCCGGCGAACTGATGAACCACACCCGGCTGTGGAATGAGACTTCCGCCGCCGTGGCCGACTTCTATGACGACCTCAAGGAACACGACGCCGCAGACAACGTGGTGCTGCTGGTCTTCACCGAGTTTGGCCGTCGGGTCCACGACAACGGGTCCGGCACCGACCACGGCTCGGGCGGGGTGGCCTTCGTGGTGGGCGACCCGGTCAAGGGCGGCCTCTACGGCGAATACCCGTCGCTGGAAGACGATAAGCTGCTGGAGGGCGACCTGCACTTCAACAACGACTTCCGGGGCATCTACTCCACCCTCATAGAGAAGTGGATGGGCCTGGACGCTAACCCCATCGTCAACGGCGCCTTTGAGCAAATGGAGTTTATTTAGTCAACTCTGTGAGGTTTGTATGACTCCAACCCGAATATCGCATGTACAGCTACAATACAGCCATACCATCGGGCGTGGCGAGCAGTTCGGACCCGGTTTTACCTACCCGATACACCTGGCCCGGGGCCAGGACGACCTGATGTACGTAGTGTGCCGCTCTTCCGAGTACCGGCCCGAGGGCACCCGCATTGCCGTGTGCACCGTGGATGAAGAGTACGTCAACGCCTTCGCCCGCGGCGTCCCGCAGCAGGGGCCCCACGAGTACAACTTCGATGATGGTTCCCTGGTATGGCCGGTATGCGTGGCCATTGCCGGCGACGGCAACGTCTTCGTCTCCGACGAGTGGCTCAACCGCATATCCATCTTCACCAGGGACGGCGAGTACGTAGGCAAGTGGGAAGAGCGCAGTGGCAGCGGTGACGGCGAGCTGAACCATCCCGCCGGCATGGTCTTTGACCAGGACGATAACGTCTTCGTGGTTGACAGCTTGAACCACCGGGTACAGAAGTTCACCAAGGACGGGCAATACCTGTCCCAGTTCGGCACCCTGGGCGATGGCGACGGCGAGCTCAATATGCCCTGGGGCATCGACATCGACGGGCGGGGCAACATCTACGTCGCCGACTGGCGCAACGACCGCATCCAGAAATTCAGCGCCGACGGCAGCTTCCTGATGAAGTTCGGTTCCTCCGGCTCCGGCGAGGGCGAGCTAGACCGCCCTACCGACGTGGCCGTGGACCAGGACGGCATCATATATGTCGCCGACTGGATGAACAATCGCCTGCAGGTCTTCGACCCGGACGGCAACTTTGCAGCGTTGAAGACTGGCGACGCCACCGTCTCCAAGTGGGGCCAGGACAAATTGGACGCCAACCCGGAGATGTGGGGTGAGCGTGACCGCGCGCAGGGAATGGAACGGGAGAAAGACTTCTGGGCCCCCAGCGGTGTCACAGTTGGACGACAGCAACGCCGTGTACGTCTGCGAGGGTCCTCGCAACCGTATTCAGGTATACCGCAAACAGCCCGCCACCTTTATGGGGCCACGGCTGTAAGTAAGAACCGCGTAAGGTACGGCCGCGTACTATACGATCGCGTACGAACTCTTGGGAAGGCCTCCGGAAACCACGGGGGCCTTCTTGTATGATATCCTCCAGCAACATTCCCGGCGATTGAACCTGCCAAGAGCCTGTCTTTGCCATGCCCACCAAAGTAGCCCGCATCCCCAACCTGGAATGTGAAGCGTTTTATTACGACATGGAGCGTCGCGGAATTGAGCTGATGAACTTGGATCCCAATGCCGTGACCGACGCGCTGGAACGAGGGGAAATTGACGCTGGGCCTGTGCCCCTGGTGGACACATCAAGGCTGGCGGAAAAGGCCGCCACGATTCACGGGTTCTGCGTCGCGTCGGTGTCCAGGGCCACTACCAGCATGCTGCACACAAAGAAACCCATTGAAGCCCTGGACGGCGGCCGTATCGCCTTGGGCGCAAGCGACGCCGCTTCGGTGGACCTGCTCCGGGTGTTGCTAGAGCAGAGGTACAACGTCCGCCCCGAAACATTCGTCGATGAGCAGTCAGACCACGACGCCCTGCTGCTGACCGGTAATCCGTCCCTGCGACGGCGGCGGGGCATCCGCGGTTACCCTCACCGCTACGACCTGGGAGAAGAATGGCAGGCGTGGACCGGCTTGCCCTTCGTCTTCTCCCGTTGGATGGTCGCAAACAGCCTGGAGCGGCAGGACCGTGTGGTGCTGGAGGATGCCCTTTTCGTCGGCCAGGAAGACTGGATGAACAATCTCTATAAGGACACCGGTCCCCGTAATAACCTGCTCATGCTGCCCCGGGAAGTTCTGGAGTACGTGCAGGGCATGAGGTTCTTCATTGGCGTCCCCGAAGAGCGCTCCATGGCTCTCTTCCAGGAAAAACTGGCGCTATTGGAGGACGCCTGAGTTTGACAGGACCGGAGGCTTTGTCCGACGAGGGAAATCCCTGATATATATCACGCTGAGCGCGGCCTCTCTTCAGTTCTTTTCCTGGTCAATAGTCCAGCATTAAGGTTGAGAATGAAGTGGGATGGCCGCCCTGTACGTCCCCCCCAACACTTCGCTGGACGAGCATTAACAGGTCATCTATGCCATAATCAGCCAGCACACACCTTGCCCGTTGTCCCCATTTACCATGTCTTAATAGCCACATGGAAACCAGGACTTTCCAGCGTCGTTCGAAGGCCTGGGAATCCCTTTCCAAATTCCCTTCGAAAGCTCCGGAACTGCCACTTCCCGATGTCAATGAGTTTCTGAGATAGCTGAAGGGGTGCCAGGCGACCTACTCTGACGAGGAGTTGCGACTGCGGGAGGTCAGCGCGACGGACCACATAAGGAAAACGGAGGCGGTGGTTAATCCGGCGGAAATCACGAAGGCCAGGAAGTAGTCACCCTGCAGGTCAAAGAGAAGGCCCGCCATAATCGGACCGAGGCCGATGCCAATGCCACGCCCTACCTCCATCATGCCCATCACCGTGCCCAACATCCGGGGCGGATAGAGGTCGGCGGCCTTGGCCCCGATGAGCAGGCCGCTTATGCCGTCGCTGAGTCCGTTCAGGGCCACAAAAAACACCAGCACCCACCATGCCCCGCCTTCGCTGAAAAAGAGGACCAGAACCACGGCGGCCACGGACATTGTCATCCCGAAGGTATAAACAATCTCCCGGCCAAGTATGTCGGATAGGAGGCCGGTAGCGGGACGACCGCCGATGCCCAGCAGACCGGCGATACCGATGGCCAGGGCCGCCTGGATTTCACCATAACCGGCCAGAAAGAGGAAGGCCAGGATGTGGACCATGATCATGTGGTTGCCTATTGAGTTGATTGCCCGGGCGCCCAACAGAAGCCAGACGGCAGGTTCTCGAAGCACCTCGGCAGCAGGGGACCGGGACGGCGTTTCACGCTCGGGTGGGGATTCCGCCAGCACATCAGAGGCGCCGGCTTCCGCCGCGACGTCTGGCATAGCAACGTTAACTTCCCTGCCGCTGCCGGGCGGTCGCTTCTGGAAGAGCAAGTTGGGAATGACGACCACCAGGAAAAAGGCGACGCCAAAAATCCGGAATGCCCATTGCCACCCCAGGGTTGAGACAATTATCTGGGCCAGCGGAACAACAATAGCCTGGCCGGCCGGGTTGCCCGCGTCTGCCATGCCCAGGACAACGCCCCTGGAACGGGGGAACCAGGGGGCCAGGGTCGCAGTGGCGGAGAAGGAGGAAATGCCGACCTGCCCCACGGTGGCGACGATGCTGTAGAAAATGAACAACTGCCAGACATCGCTGACGAAGCTGCTGGCCAGCCAACCGACAAGGATGAAACATCCTGCGATGGGGAACATAACCCGGGGGCCGTAACGGTCCAGGAATATGCCCAGAAAGGGGGCAATGAATGCCCCGAATAGTCCCGAGGCGGAAAAGACAGCGGAGGTCAGGGCCACGCTGCTGCGAAAATGGTCCCGGAAGGCCACCAAGAATACGCTCTGGACGTTCTTGGACCCACCCTCTACCGTAAGGTTGGAAAATGTAAGGGCGAAGATCACCCAACCGTAGTGGAGCCGGCGCTTGATGGTGGCTACCAAGGGCCACCATGGTTCAGAATCTTGAAAGAGTCTGGATCACCAAGCCAATTGGAGATTGAGACCGCCACGGCACCTCCTTAAGAGCGCCAATTACGTCTGCGGGTGTGGGAAAGTGCCAGGGACTCAACCTCACCAACCCACTATTTACCCGTGGTCAGGAGCATAACCTATATTAACCATTATCTAAAAGGTTGTGGGCAACGGAAGCTGTGGGCGACTCGCCGATCCTTTAGCGGGCAGCACTGGCAACGTCTGGGATGAACTTGTTCCGTTGCGGCAACTCCCACCTTAAGTTAGACTACCCAACGGCCCGAATTTGGAGCTGCATCCCTTCCGTCTTACCGTGCAAACTGTGTGGCAGGAATGCAGACCATTCCGAAACGGACTTCAGTTGTTATCTCGCCTTAAACTATTGATAACAAGTTAATGGAGGTCATATTAATGTCCAATGACAGCAGCATTACCCCTGAACTCATTCACTATCTTTCGGGCGCCCTTGGCGCCGAACTCCCTCCCAACGTGTTGGCAAAAGCCAAGCATCATATTCTGGATACCCTGGCAGCAATGGTGTCCGGGTCTGTTCTCAAACCGGGGGTTCTCGCGAGGGAGTACGTAGACCAGCAAGGGGGGCCAGAGGAAGCCCAAGTGGTGGGAAGTTCCAGGGTCGTCTCGGCGGTAAACGCTGCCATCGCAAACGGAATGATGGCCCACGCCGACGAAACCGATGATTCCAACGGTTCGGCTGGAATTCACCCGGGCTGCGCGATATTGCCCGCCGCCCTGGCCATGGGAGAACGCGAGAACGTAAACGGGTCCCAATTCATCAAGGCCGTGGTGCTGGGATATGACATAGGCAGCCGAACCACCAAGGCTCTCGGCAGGGAAGAGATGCGGGCGCGGAACCACCTGCCATTCAGCATCGGCGGAACTATAGGTGCAACGGTGGCTGCGGGATGCCTGGCAGACCTGAAGGAAGAGCAATACCGCGACCTGCTGTCCTACGGGGCCCAACAGGCCTCGGGGATCATGACTTATCCGAGGGACGTGGAGCACATCGAAAAGGCCTTCATCTTCGGTGGAATGAACGCCCGCAATGGAGTCATGGCTGCAGAGATGGTCAAGATGGGCTTCACCGGAGTGTACGATACCTTCGCTGGCGACGGCAATTTCCTGGTGGCCTATGCGGATAACGCCAAGGGAGAGGAGTTGGTGGCCGAACTGGGGAGCCGATACGAGGTGATGCTGACCAATATCAAAAAGTTCTGCGTGGGCTTCCCCATCCAGTCCCCGGCCGAGGGACTGACCCTGATTATGGCCAAGCACGGCATCGACGCCGCTGACGTGAAAAGATCGTCGTCCGGTTGCCTGAAAGCGGAGCCCACACCGTAAATGACCGGGAAATGCCCGATATCAACCTGCAGTACATCTTCGCCATCGCCTTGCTCGATGGGAGAGTTTCCTTTGAGGCTGCCCATTCCTTCGAGCGGATGACGGAGCCGGATGTGATGGACGTTCGCTCCAGGATTACGTTGATAGGCGACCCGGAACTCAGCGGCGCACAGCCCGATTACCAGGCCATTGTTGAGGTAACTACGAAGGACGGTGCGAATCTGACCGAGCGGGTTACCAGCTTCCGAGGCCGCGCGGAGAATCCACTGACTACCGAAGAGGTAGGAGAAAAGGCTCTGGATTTGATGGAGCCGGTACTGGGTCGGGCCAGGTCCGAGGAGTTGATTGATACCATCAACCGGCTGGAGACCCTGCCCAGCGTTCGGGAATTGCGGCCCTTCTTGGTGGCGTAACTCGAGACTTGAATGCAGACGGAATTGGAAACTGACCGCCGCGGCGGTCAGTTTCTTTTTGTTGTTGGCAGGCTGGAAGGATGAGGGCCAAGCATAACCTCTGCCGAATTGGGCAAGTCCCTTGCGTCAGACAACCGCCGGCTCAACCTTGTGGCAGGCCGTTAGATGGTCGGTGAGCACTTCCCGCCATTCAGGTTCCACTTCGCGGCACATGTCTGTCTCCAGGTAAATCGGGCAACGGGTATGGAACCGGCATCCGCTAGGTGGATTGATGGGGCTGGCCACTTCGCCAGTTATGGTAGTCCCCATGGGGATGTCCGGGTCTGGTTGGGGGACGGACGCAAGCAGCGCATTGCTGTAAGGATGCAGGGTATTTCCGTAGAATTCATCCCTGGTTGCCAGTTCCACCATCTTGCCCACGTACATAACGCCCACCCTATGGCTCATGTGCTCGACGATGGCCAAATCGTGGGATATGAGCAGGTAGCTCAGGCCCAGGTCGCGCTGCAGCTGCACCAGCAAGTTGAGAATCTGCGCCCTGATAGAAACATCCAGGCCCGAAACGGGCTCGTCCAGCACAATCAGGTTAGGCCGGAGGGCCAGGGCGCGAGCAATGGCAATACGCTGGCGCTGTCCTCCGCTAAACTGGTGAGGGAAGAAAGTGGCCGTCACGGGATTCAGTCCCACGTTTTCCAGCAGTTCGCCCACCCGCATACGCAGGTTTCGCCCGCGCAGCTTCTGGTGGACACGCAGGGGTTCACCGATAATGTCCAGAACCTGCATTCGCGGGTTGAGGGAACTGTACGGGTCCTGAAACACCGCCTGCACCAGGCGTTTGTATTCCCGCAACCCGCTTCCCCTGAAGCGGCTGACGTCTTCTCCCTGGAATTTAATGGTTCCCCAAGTCGGGCGTTCCAGGAGCAAAATCATCTTGGCTACGGTAGTCTTTCCGCAGCCGCTCTCGCCCACCAGGGCGAATGTTTCGCCCTCTCCTACGGAAAAGCTGACGCCATCCACTGCGCGTATGGAATCCCCGCCACGGTTAATCCAGTTACCGCCGCCCCGAAAATGCTTCGCCAGCCCTTCGACTTCCAGCAATTGGTCGGCCAAACTACCCTCCCGGCTCAGCTAGCCAGCAATGCACAAAGTCTTGTCCGCCCAGGGAAGTCCTGGGTGGGTACTGCTCCCGGCACTTGTCCATGGCCTCCGGGCAGCGGGGCCAGAAGGGACAGCCTTCGGGAATGCTACGCAAATCAGGCGGCTGCCCTTCAATCTGGTACAGCTGGTCCCGTCTGGCGCCCATCAGGGGAACCGAGTCCAGAAGAGCCCTGGTGTAGGGGTGTTGCGGTTCCTTGTAAATCTGCCTGACTCTGCCGCTTTCAACAATACGGCCCGCATACATTACGTTAACGCGATCGCACATCTGGGCGACAATTCCTAGGTCGTGAGTAACCCAGATGACACTGGTGCCGCTTTCCTGCTGCAGTTCTCGTATTAACCGCAGGAACTGGGCTTGAATGGTAACGTCCAGGGAGGTGGTGGGCTCGTCGGCAATCAGTAGCTCAGGTTGGGTAGTAAGGCCCATGGCGGCCACTACCCGCTGTCTCATGCCCCCGCTGAACTGGTGGGGATATTGTCCTACCCGCAACTCCGGACGAGGTATCCGGACCGCCCGAAGGGATTCCAGGACCCGCGCCATGGCTTGCTGCCCGCGTTCCTTTAGATGAAGGCGTACCGGCTCGGCCACTTGCTCGCCGACGGTATACACCGGGTTCAGCGATGTCTGCGGGTCCTGCATGATTATGGCCATGCGATGACCCCGGTACTCTCGCATTTCATGCTCGGACAATTCAAGGAGATTATCGCCTTTGAACCAGATCTCTCCCCCGACAATGCGGGCGCCCGGCTGCGGCACCAGGCGCATCAGGGAAAGGCAGGTCATCGTCTTGCCGCTGCCCGACTCACCCACCAAGCCCACAGCTTCGCCCTGGCCAACCGTAAAGCTGACCCCGTCCACCGCCTTCAACACAGCGTTACGCTGGAAGAAGTAGGTCTTCAGCCCTTCAACCCTGAGAAGCAGGTCCTTTTCCGTATCCTGGTATTGCATTTATCACTAAGCTCGGGACGATTACCTAGAGTTGCCGGCGCCTGGGATCCAACGTATCTCGCAGCCAGTCTCCAAACAGGTTAACTGACAACACCGCCGCCAGAATGAACAAGCCAGGGAAAAGCGTAATCCAGTAAGCAGAAGTCAGGAATTCTCTCCCATCGGCAACCATCAGGCCCCAAGCCGGTTGAGGGGGAGGCACTCCAACTCCCAGGAAACTGAGCGAAGACTCCAACAGAATCAGGTGTCCCACTTCCAGAGTGGCAAGGACAATGACAGTGTTGAACACATTGGGCAAAATATGACGGAGCATGATCATCCAGGCCGGGGTCCCGATGACTTTTGCTATAGACACGAAGTCCCGCTCACGAACACTTAACGTCTCGCCGCGAACGATTCGAGCAAACCGGGCAGCCAGGAAGGGCGACAGAATAAGAATGACGCTTTCGAAACTGCGCCCGATGGCGAATACCAGTACCAGGGCAACCAGAATGGTCGGCATCGCCAGAATTACTTCGATGCCCCGCTGCATTACGGCATCCACTTTGCCGCCCGCGTATCCGGATACCAATCCCAGTAATACCCCCACTCCCCCGCCAAGACCGATTACAAACAAGGACAGGGAAAGCGAAACCCGGGATCCCCGGATCAACCTGCTCAATATGTCCCGGCCCAGCTTGTCAGTACCCAGTAAATTCGCAGAGGTCCCTTCCTCATGCCATACCGGAGGGGCGAAGGAGTTGGACAGATCAACGGCCACGGGGCTGTAGGGAGCGATCCATTGTCCAAAAGCGGCGAAAATCAGCAGGATGGCCAGAACGGACACCGGAATCTTGGGCGCTCGTCGCAACCCGTCAAGTCCCGAGCGAAGACGAAGAGCCCACACGGAAGACGGGGCCGTGGTTTGCATAGTAATGTTGGTCATGGATTCCCTGCTACTGGGTGTACTTTATTCGGGGATCTATAACGGCGTACAGGATATCAACAAACAGATTGATAAGGATAAAGAAACTGCCGAAAACTATGACGACGCCCTGGATTACCGGAAAGTCTCGCCGCACGACGCTTTGCACTGCCGAAGTTCCAATGCCGGGCCAGGCATAAACCTGCTCCACAACTACTGAGCCATTCATAAAGGCCCCGAGGACCAGGCTGCTGTAGGTCAACACCGGCAACAGGGCGTTCCTCAACGCGTGCTTGCCAATTACAACCCCTTCCGGAAGGCCCTTGGCGCGCGCCATGGCTACATAGTCGCTATCCAGCACATCCATCATGCTGGAACGGACCAAACGCACCATACCAGCCATCACACCCCAGCCCAGGGTAAAGCCGGGCAGCACGTAAGATTGCCAACCACCCTTGCCCGCCGGAGGTAACAGTCCCCAGACCACGGCGAACAGAATAATCAACATAATGCCAAGCCAGAAGGGCGGCATGGACTGACCCAGAAACGCCAGGACCTTGGCCAACCAGTCGACCGGGGAATCGCGATAAACCGCGCCAAGCACGCCCAGCGGAATAGAAAATACCACGGCAAAAATCAGCGCAATCAGCCCCAGGGAGAAAGTAGCCGGCAGTCGTTCCGTCAGAATCTGGGTGACTGGAATGCCGTTGCTGACCGACTCGCCCAAATCCAGCCTTACCAGTTGACCGATGTACCTTGCGTACTGCTGGTAAAGGGGCTTGTCCAGCCCCAGCTTGGCGGCCATTATTTCCCGGGCATCCACCCCCGAATTGCGGGCCGTGAATACCTCCGCCGGGTCGCCGATGGAGCGGGATAGGATAAACACCAGGGTTGCAATGAACCACAAACCCAGCAGGGCCTGAAAGAGGCGAAACCCGATGTACTTGAGCATGGAGGAGTCCTCAAATTGGAGGGTCTGCCGGCAACTTTCTACTTCGCCGGCAGACCATTCCCGCAATTGCGGTCTGCGTCAGTGGACGGATACCCCTTATGGCCTTATCGTCCAGTGGTTGTGGGGATACGGCTTTCCAGTGATGGGAGTCCAGAGCCAACCTTGTCGCTGGCCCCGAACACGGCCCCCGCCTCCAGCAGAGGACCCGCCCAGAAGTCCCGACTGAGTAGCCGGTGGAAGTCGGCCATCGCGTCGTGCTGGTCCTGGAGGTCAAAGGAAGATCCTGCCTTATCCAGCAAGGGGTCAAGAATGTCGGGCAGGCGCATCATTTGCCGGCGACCCTCAGAATGGTAGTAGATGTGGGAGCCGCGGTAGGAGTGGATGCGAGTGTCGCTGCCCCGGACCGCGATCTGGTAAGGAGGCTGGTCATTCACGATCTCTTCTATTTCATCCGTAGTCTTGATGGCGTTGTCGAAAGTCTCCCGCAGGACCGGGCCGTCGACGACGGATACGAACGTGCTGATACCAATGGCCTCCAGGTATCCGGCAATGGCCTCGGACAGACCAGGCTGGTCAACAAAATCTGCGTCGCCGGAGAAGGTCATGATTTCAATTTCAGATCCCTCAAACCCGGCTTCCTGGATGAGTTGCATGGCCCGCGCTGGGTCGTAGGGGTGGGGCTCCACGTCCCCGGGGTTACCAATGTTGCCTTCCACTACCCAGTAGCAGCAGGCCGGGGTGGTCTGGCCGGCGTAAAGACCATTGCCGATCGCCTCCCGGTCAATGGCGATGGAAATGGCTTCGCGGACGCGCTTGTCATTGAAGGGGTGCCCAGGGACCCAGGCGTAGTTGTACCAGATCCACGATATGTTGGCGGCCGGCGACTGGAGAACTTGCAGATCAGCAGATTGCAGTTCCTCAACGCTGCGCACAGAAGCCGTAATCAGGTCGGCGTTGCCGCTCTTGAGCATGGCCATGCGGGTATTCAGTTCGGCCACGTCCCAGATCTGCAGAACCTTGTATCCGGGGTTCTTCTCGTAATGGTCTTCAAATGCAGTGAACTGGATATACTGGCCGGGCACCCGGTCTTCCCAGACGTATGGGCCGGACCCAATCGGGGCTTCGCGGAAGTTTTCTATGCCGCCTATGCTCTCGAAGTAGGCCTGCGGGAAGACCACGGACCTGGGAGGAGATGCCGAAGCAAAGAACAGCGGCAGCGTGGACTGGGGTTCTATGGTGGAAACCGAGACCGTGTTGCCCGCCACTTCAAAGCCGGAACTCAGCAGCGGTCCTACTTCCAAAGCGAACCCGCCCAGGGAGTCCTCCCCAATTGCCCGAGTCCAGGTCCAGGCAACGTCCTCCGGAGTAACGTCGGCGCCGTTGTGGAACTTCATCCCCTCGCGGATGGTGAAGGTCCAGGTCAGTTGATCCTCGGATACCTCCCACTTGGTGGCGAAACCAGGGGTCAAAGTTCCGTCGGGGTTTTGACCAATGGCGTATTCGAATACTTCGTCGTAGTAAACCTTGGTGGCGCTATCCTGCCCGATATTGGTGTCAACACCCTGGAAACCCAGGTAAGAACTAACCGAGATAATCGAACCGACAGGATCCACTCTACCCGGGAGTCTTCCGGATTCCGGTATCTGCACCGGCGTTGGGGTGGCAATAACTATTCGCTCTACCTCTTTTTCTACCTCCACCCGTACCTCTTTTTCCACTTCTACCGGTACTTCGCGGATAGTTTCAACTTCCACTTCGACGGGCACTTCCCTTTCCACCACCGTCTCAATAACCTGGGGCTCGGCGGCTCCACAGGCTACCACCAAGGCCAGGCAGAAGAGACATCCCAAAAGAAGCAACGATACCTTCATGTTTCTCACCTTTCCATTTGAGTTTGATGCAACTGCTAGGTCGGATTCACTAGATGTTATGGATAAATAGTGCTGGTATTAGACAAATATGGTTTTTTGCGTAAGAAAACTAATCCGAGGCCTAGCGGCCCCCACCCATAATAATCTGTAAGGGAGGGCATAGCTGTCGAGGAAATTGGCCGGATTATACATACGCCCAAAGGTAGTGTCAATTTAGTGAATTGACCAGGACTAATCGCCATGGACGTATAGTTGCGTTGCAGGTCATATAACCTGGGGGTGATGCGATTCGGAGGAAGGAAACAGCGGAGCGCGCTGTTTTTGTTCCCCACGGCCCACCATCTTGACTACCGATAATCCAGACAATCTGGAACCGCCAACTGTTCGTTTACGGCCTGCCATTCGTTCCGCGCATCTCTCCTATCGAGCCACGCTTAGATGGGCCAATGCGAATGGAATAAAGGTGTACAGGCAGGGGCGTATGAGTAGGTAAGCAAGTAACGCCCAGCGTTTGACAGTCGGTCCTGGCCTGAGCAACGCGTGGGTAAGGGGACCTCGAACGGCTGGGCTGCGGGCCCTTTAATGAAGACCGGCTTCGGCCCATGGGGAGCGCGCTGACTCTGTCGTACCTCTTGTTGCATAGTATTTATTGAATGTCTCCATATTATAAAGACGGTGAATCCGGAAGAAGGGGTATTGGCCACCTTTTCGAGCTTTCCGGGACGGAAGCTATTGCTGGGTTTCTCACTCCCCTGGCAATCTTCGCCGCGTTTTCCTGGTGCAGTTCATCCTCCCGGGAAGGCGGGTTACCGGTTATGTCATCAACCCCGAGACTGGCGGACCCCGCAACTACAAGCTGAACGGCATCCTGGTGTTCGCCATCGCGCTGGTAGTGTGGGCTTTCGAAGTTGGCGGATTGCCGCGGGATTGGTTCTACCGGTCCACGATCTATGCGGTCGCCGGTGGAACGGTATTCTGCGTCATCTTTTCACTCTGGGCCGTGTTCAGCCGTCCGCAAGGCGAGATTAAGAACCCCTTCATCGCCTTTTGGGAAAGGCGCGCCCTGGAACTGCCCTTCTTCAACGAGCGCTTCGACTTGAAGATGTACTTGTATGTCGTCGGTGGGACGATGCTGTCGCTCAACGCCCTGTCCGGGGCCGCGTACCACTACGAACGCTTTGGAGCTGACTTCAACCCGGGCGTTTTCCTCTATGCCGGGTTCCTTACCTTCTACGTCCTGGACTACTTCATCTTTAAGCGCGTCCAGCTATATACCTACGACCTTATCCACGAACATCTCGGCATGAAGTTGATTTGGGGTGGCCTCGTGGTCTACGGGTGGCTTTACATTCTGCCGTTGTGGGGTATGGCGGCTTATCCCAACCCCGGCTTTTCGCCGGCCTTGACCTATGTTTGGCTCATCGGAACGGCTGCGCTGTTCCTGCTAGGGTGGGGTATCTCCCGGGGCGCCAACATGCAGAAGTACACCTTCAAGCAGCTGGCCCGACCGCAAGTTTCTGGGGATCATCGAGCCCAGGTATATTGAGACCGGCGACCGCAAGATCCTGTACAGCGGCCTGTGGGGGTTCGCCCGCCACTTTAACTACCTGGGCGAGGGGTTCCTTTCCTTTTCCATCGGCCTTGTATTCGGCTATTTCGCCAATCCCTGGGCCTGGACCTACTTTGTCTTTATCGTCTCGCTGTTCACCTGGCGCCAACGGCTGGACGAAGCGAACTGTGCCGAGAAATACAGCGCCGAAAAGTGGGAGGAGTACCAGGCACGGGTGAAGTACCGCATTCTTCCTGGCATCTACTGAGAAGGCAACCCGTAGAGTACATGCGGGGCGCCCGCGATAAACTATCCGGGTAGCAGTAAGGGTCCCGGCAGCCTTGCCCCGCTGAACTTGTTTGACTGCCCATCTGCTATCCTGTGGTTGCCGTCCACGACGGCGGCAGGGTACGCACATTCCCCCCGAGGAGGCCCGTCCGGCCACAGGCATGGCGGCTGGAAGACACCCTGCAGGACTTTCATTCGGCCAGCACAGGAATATCTCGTAACCAGCAGGAGGCGGCATGGCGACTTTGAATGTGTCTCCCGGGGTGGAGCTTCACTTCTACGACGACGATTTCACCGACCCTTGGCGGCAGGCGCCGTCCATCCTGTTGCAGCACGGCTTCTCTCGGAGTGGCAAATTCTGGTACAACTGGGTGCCCCTGCTGTCCAGCGAGTTTCGTGTTCTGCGCCCCGACCTGCGGGGGATGGGCGAGTCGTCAATGGCAGAGGAAGCCTACGAGCCTTCCCTGGATACCTTCATGGCAGACCTGAATGCCATCCTGGACCGCCTGGACATAGACCAGGTGGTCTATGTTGGGGAGTCCTTCGGAGGCATTCTTGGGCTGAGCTTCGCCCACGCCTTTCCGGATCGGGTGCGGGCCCTGGTCCTGTGCAACACCCCTTGCCGCCTGCCCCGCCGGGGCCGCTCGGACCCGGAGGGCGACTGGCAAACCGCCATGAGGCAGAGCGTCGGGACCTGGTCCACCGCCACCATCGACAACCGACTGGACACCCGGGCGGCGCCCGAGGGTATGAAGGAGTGGTATATTGCCGAAATGGACCGCACTTCGCCGTCCATTGGCCGCAAACTCCAGGCTTACCTGGACACGCTGGACTTCCGCCCGTACCTCAAGGAAGTGTCAACCCCCACACTGCTGCTGACCGGCGAAGAGTCGCCCACTTCCACTCTGGACCAGCAGCAGTTCATGGCCGATGAGCTGCCCAATTCCCGCCTGGTGGTTTATCCCGGCCTGGGCCACGGAATCAACGCCATCTATCCGGATTGGTGTGTGGCCCGGATTCGCGAGTTCCTGGCGCAGTGGCCGACTGCCTGACCACTACTGGAAGCTCCAGACCAGGATTCACCCAATTCAACTGCAGGTAAGGAGAGGATACGATGCCCCACTATATGTACGTGGCCGTTCAGGAAGACGACAAAATTTCCACCTTCACCATCGACTCTGACACGGGAGCGCTGACCCACCAGCGTGACCTCACCGTTTCCGGCGGACCCTTCACCATGGCCTTGAGTCCGGACGGCGCCCATCTCTACGTAGGCTGCCGTGAAGTCCCCCAGCTCATCAGCTACGACATTGACCAGTCCAACGGAGAACTATCCAGCACCGGCATGGTAGCCCTGCAGTTCAATCCTACTTTTATCGCCACCGACCGAAAGGGCGGTTACGTCCTGTCGTCCTATTACCAGGGCGCCCACGTCGGCGTCCACCCCATCGGCGCCGACGGTTCTGTGGGCGGTGACCCGGTGGTGTGGCTGGAGACTGCTACCGGCGCCCATTCGATGCAGACCGACCCCACCAACAGGTATGCCTTCGTCCCCCATATCGCGGGAAACGGCCCCAACCAAATCTACCAGTTCCGGTTCGACGAAAACACCGGCCAGATAGAACCCAACTCCCCGGCCCAGGTAGAGCCGGATGGATTCCACGGGCCCCGGCATTTCTGCTTCCATCCCTCGCTGGATGTCCTGTACTTCTCCAACGAGCAGGGGTGCAGCGTTGGGGCCTATCGTTTGGACGCCGCCAACGGGACCCTGTCCCAGTTTCAGACCGCTCCAACCATTCCTGAAGACTTTACCGAGCGGAATTCCTGCTCCCAGATTCAGGTGACGGGCTCGGGACGTTTCCTTTACGCCCCTAACCGCGGCCACAACAGCATCGCCTGCTTCACCGTTGACTCTGCCACGGGAGAACTTGGCGCCAACGGCATTGTCGAGGCCGAACCCATTCCCAACGCGCTGGCCGTAGGCCCGGGAGAGAAGTTCCTGTACTCCGCCGGAGTTGAATCGGGGAACATGGCAACCTTCGGCATCGACGCTGGTACTGGGCGACTCAACCGAGTGGCGATCACTCCCCTGGGCAACCGGCCAGCCTGGATTTCCATTGTCCAGCTTCCCTGATAATCAGGCCGATTACCAGGCCACATCTCCGGCGAGTCAATCCTGCCAATCCCTAAGGACTGGAGACAAAGATGTCGGAAATCGAGAAAAAGCTGAACGAAATGGGCTACCAGCTAACCGAACCCCGCCGGTCCGCCGTGGGCAACTTTGTTCCGGCGGTACGTACCGGCAACCTGGTTTACACCGCAGGAACCGGCCCGGGACTACCAGGAGGCGGCTTCCTTCACGTGGGAAAGCTGGGGGCGGAGGTTACCATTGAGCAGGGGTACGACTGCGCTCGGCTGACGATGCTCAACCTGCTGTCCAATCTCAAGGGCGAGATCGGGGACCTGGACAAGGTGAAGCGGGTGGTGAAGTTGCTGTGCATGGTCAACGCCGCCCCGGACTTCACGGACACGCCCCTGGTGGCCAACGGAGCCTCGGACCTGCTGGTCAGTCTTTACGGAGAACGCGGGCACCACGCCCGCTCGGCCGTGGGCATGAGCACCCTTCCGGGCAGCATGCCCATAGAGATAGAAATGATCGTCGAGGTGGAGGGCTAGCAGTCTGTCAGAGAAACAGGTTTAGCGAAAGAGCGGGTGTATGATGAGGGGCTCCCCCACGCGGAGGCCCCGCAATGAGCAAAACCTACCTTCCCTATGACCCAGAGCAGCAGTTGCTGCTGCCAGCGGCCCTGCAGGAGTGGCTGCGGAGGAGCACTGGCCTACTCATTTCCGACGTGGTGGACCATTGACTCTGGCGGAGATCACGGAGCGCTATGAACAGGAGAGCCTCGGGCGGCCCGCCCTACCATCCCCGGATGATGGTGAGGTGCTGCTGTATAGCTATACTGCACCGGGGTGGCATCGTCCCGGCGCATGCCCAGCGTCTCCACGAGGACATCGCTTCCGGGTGCTGGCGGCCACCACCCCGGACTTCCGCACCATCGTACGCTGACTTATCCGCAGGACACCTGGCAAGAGCCCTGATCGTGCTGTTCCTGCCTGTGTCTGGCGTGTTGCCAGCAGGCCAGTCCTGTAGACGTGCATCTGTGCACTGTATTCGGCGCCGGACGTACCAAGTTTCCTCGTCAGCCAACGTTTATCTGCAGTCAGAAAGTCCGTCCCACCGTGTCGGCCTTGATGTAGCGGTTATCACGCTGGGGGTCGGGCTTGCATTACGTCTCCGGGGGGGGTGGGGGAAAAAAAAAAAAAAAAAATAATCCCCTTACTTCCATCTTAGGATCATCTTTATAACGCTTTCAGTGTTCTCAGGTTCTAAATGGCTCAGGTTCATCACATGCCCTTGGCATTGAGCAACAGAAAGTGCTAACGGGCGCTCATCTTTCTGTACCCGTTCTTTTACGGACGGGACAAACGGGCGACGACTGCCGGAGGAGGTAGTGTCCCTTCCGGAGGGCCGGTTGCGGAAGATACGGGAGGCCAGGCGGGCGCTGAGGCCAAGGCTCATTGCGGAGGCGGAGGCGGAGCAGGCCGAAGCCGAGTGGTAATCAATCACCCAGGCACACCGCCGACAAGGCCAGCGGAACTTCACCGACCTGACTCCAGGATCATAGCCTGGGCAGGGGGACGGGAATTCCAGCAGTCCTACAACTGCCAGGCGGTGGTGGACCATTACATCAGTTGATTGTGGCAGGCCCGGGCTTACCAACCAGCCCCGAGACAAGCACAGGCCATCGAAAACAAAAGAATTTGAGGATACCATCGCAACACGCCGCCTCGGCACGGTGCCGAAAGAAGTGTCCGCCGACGCTGGGTATTACTTCGGCGAAAGCGGTGGATGAACTCTGCATCCTGGGAGTGGACCCCCGTTGTTGGCGCCGGAGAGACCCGCCACGGCTGGGTTCCGTCCACCGGCGCCCCGTGGCCGCATAACCCGGGATCTCTCTCCCAGAGACCGGATGCGCCGCATCCTGCAGACCAAACGGGGCCGGCAGGCTACGGCCTCAGGATGGAGACGGTGAACCGGTCTCCCGTTCGGCCAGTCAAGCAGTGCGGGGCTTCCGGCGTTCCTGTTGCGGGGACTGGAGAAGGTCCAACGGAGAGTGGAACAGAAGGGAGAAAAAAAATGGTACAGGGGGGGGGGGGGGGGGGGGGGGGGGGCTGGGGGGGGGGGGGGGAGGGTCGCTCAATACAATGCACCGTGGCCACAACCTGCCTGGCCGGAAAATGTGTTTCCGGTTCGGCGCCTGTTTCCCCCGCCAAGGGGGGAACCGGGTCCCCGCGCGCAGCCAGCGGGACTACTTCCTGTTGGCTGCCCGCGTCAAGTTCATCCTGAACCTGCCGCCACATTCACCAACTCCTGCGCCGTCGATGGGCCGCCTCAAGATAATCCCCGGACAGCCTGCTAGTATTACAACGTCAGTTCGGGGAGGGATGTGTGGGTGAGTAGTCCGCAGGCGGCGCGGCGCTTGGCAGGGGAGCCGACTGGCCGTTCGTTTCTGTCCTGTCGGTATCCTCAGCCAATTTTACCGCAGCACTCTTCACGGTCGAACCGTCTACCACGGATGCATGCATCTCCCGCACACCCGGTAGACTGCGGATAGGCTCGTGTAGCGGGGCGGGCAATCAGTTATAAAAATAAATCCCCAGCCAAGCCTGATATGCCGGCTCAGCAGAAAAACAGCTCGCCCATGCAGACACAGGGCACAGTAGGTGATCGCCATCTCCCGCCCTCAGGTGCGGGTCTCGTTCTCGTTACAGGCCCACGTCGCTCTTCTCCGCTCTCGAACTCCGTTTCTATACCGCACCTGGAACCTCCCACGTGATGCCAAGGTCTCCGAACGCTATCCTCCGGGCATTGCGCCAGATGTAGCGGGGTTCGTCTCTGCCGTCCAGGTTCCGGCGGTAGACGGCCCAGTGGACTTCGCCGGCTTGCGCCGACTGGTCGGCCGCACCCGCTGGGCGCTGAACAGGTAGCTGCGGGGGCCTGGCTTCCCTCGGCCACCGTAATCTCCCGCCAGGCACCCTCCGGCAACTCAGTCGCTGCGCTCCTCCATCGGTCCGCGCTGTCCGGCCACGAGCCTGGGCTTGGGAGGACCCACCCCCGTCCCCGTAGACCGGAGTGGTCCACTCTCGGTTCCTCCGGCCACACCATAAAGCCCGCCGGCACGTCCAGGACGTAGCGCATCCCCAGGGGCCACCAGTCCCTCCCCGCAAGGAGGGCGACATGCCGAAGGCGTTCGTCTGCCGCAACCCACCCGGCCCTGAGATGGCCCAACTCAGGGCCCGCCGCAGCGTCTCCAGCGCCAACTCCGTCTTCGACCGGTAGCCCCTCCGCTCCTCCGGAACCCCCGCCTCGGCACAGCGTTCCGATCCTTGGTCCAGCTCTCTGGCAAATACAGCCGCTTTGTCCACCAACGCCCGTCCCAACGGGCTGACATAGGCCAGGAACATCCCAGCCTGGCAGTTGCCCTTCCCCAGCCTCCCGCAGTATTGACGGGCACTCCCGCCGACTTCCGCCCCTGCTTGGAAGTCGCATGTCCGCTCCAGTCAGCACCCACACCCCTTCCGGATGCTCCAGCCGGGTTCCCAGGGTACTCACATGCAGCTCCGCCTATGATCGCCTCATCATCCCAGGGAGAATCGGTGAGAAACCGCTGCATCCCCCTGGCTGACCCGGAACCGTCTCCGACAGGTTCTCAGCGTTGCGCCGCTCCCCAGACTGTACCAGCAGGCCTGGAGGATAATGACCGCTGTCGCTCCCGCGTCTCCCGCCGGCCAAACAGCGGCGCGACGAGTAGGGCGTGAAACTCCTGAAAGTCCTGGTATATACCTGCTCCAAATGCCGCCCCATCCACTTCCACTGCCTCACCTGCCCAAGCATTCCCAATCTCCCAGTAATCTTATCATGCCAACTGACGTTGTAATACTAGGTTATGGTTGAGACTCGGTTTGGGACCCGTCGTCAAAGTACGGGCCATAGTCTGGACCGGTGCCCGGCGGCGGCCCGGGCTCCACCAACGGGAGCGGTATATCAATAGATTGCACGGCGTCCATAAGGGACAGTGGCCCCAGCAAAGAGGGCTGGACGGCCCCATAGACCAAGGCTTCATGCGTCAGGTGGTGAATACTCCTTGCATTAAACCAGTCTGAGACTGTCTTCCCCGCGTTCTCTACCGAGGGGTCAAGTCTCACTGTCACCAAGATTGCTTCTTCGTCGGATTCTGTCGACTTGGTTCCATCCGACGATTCCCTCTCAGTTGCTGCTTTCTCCGCTGCAATTACTATCTCCCGCAGGCCAAACCTCATATTCCGGTATTTTTGACGGTCGGGCACGGGGGGTAGCCTCGGGTTCCGGGGTGGGCTCCTCTTCTTCTTGCTGAGCGACCACGGTTGGCAGTTCCTGGGGCTCGTTGTTGTAACACTTTGCACGGACATAGGTCTCGCTGGACGTGTTATCGGGCAGTTCTCCTGCTCTCTATTTGTCGGCAAGCCCCTTGAAACCGTTGTCGATGATGCCGATTTTCACGCCATTGGCCCGATACTGTGTCGGAGTATTGGTGTGCCATTCGTCGGCGTTGTGAATCCTTACTCCTTGAGTCACAACTGTGCCGAATCTGCTGGCTGGTAGCAGGTTCGGCAAGTTCCGCTGCCAGTTGCCGGTGGGTTCCGTGGTGGGTGACATTCCCCCACACAGCCCTTGGCTGGCTTGTGTAACGTCTGGGTGCGTTTCTACGTCTTCCAGTCGGGATATGGGTACGGTCGCGGGTATTACAATTTCACCCGGAAATGTCCGCAAAAAGAAGTTGCGCTCGAAGTCAGCGTTTATCTCGTTTAGCCAGTCCATTACCCTGGTTTTGACTTCTTCTTCATCGGAGATGTGCAGTTCTAACCACACCTTGTCTCCTTTGATGAAGCAACCTACGCCTCGATTCTCGCTTAGCTGGTCCAGGTCAAGTGTACCTTTCGCATAAGCTCCCGCTATGTCCGGCAGTCCGTCTTTAAGCTTCAGATAGGAACCAGGATATCGGTAACCGTTGATCCACCAAGGTACTTCCGGTTCGTCATCTTCGCTCCTTGCCCTTGCTGGGACCAGCCCGGGCGGAGCAGGCTCAGCTTCCGCAAGGTGGGATGTGGGTACGGCGGTTACTTGGCTGACACCTGTTTGTGCAGCGAGCTCCCCTAGCAAAGTGACGCGGACGAAACTCGTGATGTTGGGTGGGGTATAGTCGATGGTGACCTTTGGTCCGGCGCCCTGGGCCTCCAGCCAGCCGTCGACGACGTTGACGTCGCCAGTCACGTCCGTCTGCGCCAGCACCATGTTGCCGTGATGCTCTGGCGCCATGGCCGCTGCTTCTTCCTCTGTCTTCTCGCATCGTTCATACTGACCCACGAGGTCAACCAGGGTCTCGTCAAGTCTGGAGTATGTCCCTTCAGTTCGGTCGCATGGCTCTGGTGTGGCATCCTCCTGCTGGGCTTGTTGGGCGAGGGTTTGTCCTTCGTGATATTCAGCCGATGGGCCGCAGGCCGTCAGAATGCTTGCTAGAAGTCTGGCCGGAAAGCCATTGGCCGGATTTCGCGCTACGCCCAGCAGACGTATTCCAGTCTTATACGGCATGGTAATGTATATAATACGTGTCAAGAACCCACTGTTACATCGACAATCGACGTTAAGAAAACGGCGGGTTGGGGAGAATCGGGGTTCCCGGCCAGACTTCTAGGAGCAGAGCTACGGCTACTGGTAGTAGGGCTCGTCTTGATAATCGGGGGAAATTCATCATGTTTCCTTGTTTAGCGCGTATGTGCTTTGGCTCGATCTCTGGAAGATTCTTCTTGCAGTTACCTCCTTGTGGTTTTCTTAAAGGAGGGGCAGAGCCTGCCCGGTATATCAGGACATCTAAACCAAAGCCAAGGTGAGATGCGCAGTGGGAAGGGGTAAATTTGTGAAGGAACCTGGTTAGCTGGTGTCGGGAGTTGGGAGGGGTTGGTGATGGGCGTGAGGGAGATAGACCGGTGTCTGGAACAGTGGCAGATGGAAATCAAGGACTTGCGGCGGCGGATGATTTTGGCGCCCACACCCAGGGAGCGGGAGCGGTGGTACGCCTTGCTGCTGCTGGCGCAGGGCTGGACCGCAGCGGCCACGGCGCAGACTCTGGAAAGGGATCCCCACACTATTGGCCGTTGGGCGTCGGCCTTCGGGGAGGGAGGACCTGCAGCCTTGATATTCGAGCAGACCGGCGGTTCCCCCCGCCCTTGATCAAGCGCAGCAGGAGGAGTTGAAGGCAGCGGTACAGGAACCGCCCGGCGCCTCGGGCATTGATCTGGCCAACTGGTATTGGAAGGTGGTGCGGCAGTTTGCCGGGGACCGGTTCGGCACTGGGTTGAGCCGAAGCAGTTGTGTGAACTGGCTGCACCGGCTGGGGTTTGCCTTCAAGCGGCCCAAGAAACGCCTGCTCAAGGCGGATGAGGCGAAGCGGGAGGCTTTCGTGGCGGAGTACGCCGCTCTGAGGGAGGAGGCTGGTCGGAAGGAAGCCAGATATTCTTTGCTGATGAGGCCCACTTCCGGGCCGATGCGGAACTGCGGGGCAAGTGGGTGCTGAAGGGCAGACCTGCTTTGGTGGACTCGACCAGCCCGCGGTATGGGGAGAAGGCCAGCTACTATTCGGCGGTGTGCCTGGAGACGGGCGAGGTGGAATGGATGGAACTGGAGGGCAACAGCAACAGTGGGACCTCGGTTGCCTTCCTGGAACAACTGAGAGAAAGGCATCCGGGGCCGATGCGGGTCATCTGGGACAACGCGCCGGCCCATCGTGGCGAGGCGGTGCGGGAATATCTGCGGACGCCCGGACTTGACCTGCGGTTGGTGAACCTGCCGGGGTACAGCCCGGACTTCAACGCCGATGAGGCCATCTGGGGCTGGACCAGAGGGAGGCCACCGGCAATCTCTGCCTGGGGAGCAGGGCTGCGGTGCAGGAGAGGGTCGGCAACTTCCTGGCCGGTCTGGCCAGCCGGAGAGACGAGGTGAGGCGCCGCTGCCGGACGGTACTGCAGTCAAGGGCCGAAGCACTCCTGCAAGACTCCCGACCCGATCCCCATCACCCGGCAAATGCACATCCCACCTTGGCTTTGGTTTAGGCGAGAGTCCTGCTCCTAAACTGAGGGCAGCCGTCGCTGCCAGGGAGGAGTGGCAAATGTCGAAACAACGGAGAAAGCACAGTCCGGACGTCAAGGCCAAGGTGGCCCTGGAGGCGGTGAAGGGGGAGGAGACGGTGGCCCAACTGGCGGCCAGGTACCAGGTTCATCCCAGACAGATTCAGGCAGGGCGGCCGACATCACCTACTTGCCCATGGCCCGGGGGGTTCCTCTACCTGGTGGCCATCATGGACTGACACAGCAAGTGGGTGGTGGCCTGGCTATTGTCTAACACCCTGGAGGCCGACTTCTGCGTCGACGCCTTGAGGGATGCGCTGGGGCAAGGCCAGCCAGAGGTCTTCAACACCGACCAGAGCCTGCCCCAGTTAAGGCCGGGGAGTCAATTCACCAGCCTGGAATTCACTCAGGTACTGCAGGAACACGGGGTGAAGATCAGCATGGACGGAAGGGCCGGTACTACGACAACACCTTCGTGGAGCGTTAGTGGCGCACCGTGAAGTACGAGGAGGTGTACCTGAAAGCCTATGCCAACGCCAGGGAAGCCAGGAGGGAACTGGGCGCCTACTTCCGGTTCTACAACGACCAGAGGCCCCATCAGGCCCTGACCTAGCGGACCCCGGCCGAGGTGTCCCACCAGGCCAGGAATGCCCCGGGGAATAGATCAAAGGTGACTGAAGGCCCACCGGAAGGGGTGTTGGTATCATTGCCAGGGGCAGCGGGACTCACGCTTAATTCCACCTTGATCCTGTCACAATAAAGGGGTCCACCTCATTCCTGCACGGGAGCCGGGGGCACGGAGCGCAGGCAATGCATCTCCCTACTCCAGATTTCCCTGTACCAGGCGATTGCGTCTCTCCACCATCTTCAGCCTCCTGGGCACCGAAAAGGCTGGCAAGCCGGCGCTCCCGAACCGCGCAGCCAGTCGACGCCGACCAGCAGGGGCCGGAAAGAGCCAAGGAAACCTGAGGATCTGACGGAAAATTCAGCGGGTCCAACGCCTGGTAAAGGTCACCAGGAACATCGCCGTCACAAACAGCCCGATAAAGGACTCGACAGCGCCCAGGTCCCCAGCCACCAGGCCCGGGGGTTCCACCCAGCCACCATAACCCAGGGTCGTGAAGGAAACGAGGGAAAAGTAGAAGCAATCCATGAGATGGCTGGAAACGTTGCCCAGGGTCCAGGCGCCCTCAAAGCCACCCGGGCAAACAAAAAAGATCAGGGCGAAGAGCACAACCACCGTGGCCGCGAACAGGCAGATCCGGAAGGGGCGCTCGCCGTAGCCAAACGCGGCCTCGAACCCGGCCAGTATCAGGAATTTGCCAAGGGACTGCCACCAATCCAGTCGCGGCCCAGGCGGCCCACCCGCCAGGGCCGGCGCCAGCTCCAGCCCTGGGCCACCGCCTCCCGCATCTGCCGGGTGCGGCAGAGCCAGTCCCGGTAGAGGAACACCCCGGCCAGGTCTCCGTATCCCCGGCTCCGGTGCCAGACAAAGAGCTGGCGGTACAGCGCCCGGGCGTTGTCCAGCATGCCCAAGCGCTCCCATTCCGACTGGTTATGCCGGCCCCAGGACACATCGGCCAGGTCCGTATGCTCGTCAAGCCGGACGGCCAGAAGAAAAGCGCCGTCCAGGTTGCACCGGACCAGGAAGGCGCCCCTGAGATCGGCCCGGAAAAGGTCGGCGCCGGAGAGATCGGCCCCGAAGAGGTCGGCGTTGCGCAGGTCGGCATGGCCCAGGTCGGCCCCGGACAGGTCCACCTCCAGCAGGTTGAGACCTGACAGGTCGGCTGAGTGGAGGTTCCGTCCCGACAGGTTGAGGCGGCCGGAACACGAAGAAGACAGTTCCAGCAGCGTGACAACGTGAGATCGGCAGAGGGGCGCAACACCCTGGGCCACATCGGCCGGAGCCGAGGCCTCAAGAAAAGCGTCGACCCCCGCCGGTCTATCCACGCCCAGGGGAAATCCAGCTCGGTCACCAGCCACCACAAGGAAACTCCCTCACTGGGAATGAGCAGTCACCGTCCCCCGGCCCCGTGGGGCAGGGGGTGGCTAATAAATTAAAGGCCAACCAGGAAGTTGGCAAGTAGACACAAGGCGGGCGGCAGGGATGAACGTCGGAAATACCCGTGAATTCGCTTATAGCCATAGAGTTAAGTGGGCCAGTTTCCCACTTCTATGGTGAAGCCCACCTATCGCTGTACCGGCAATTCTCTTTCTCACGCCCCTTCCCTAGTCGCAGGCCAGGACGTCTTCTCACAGAACCAATTACCTGGCGCTTCCTGGCAGCACGGCGAAACGTCCCTCGACAAGTGCTCTTCGAGTCCTTCTAGTCCAATTGGACGCGGCGCAAGAGAACGTCCATCAACTGCTGGTACAGGGACGTGGGGGAAGTGGAGAAACTAACGGGCAAATTAAAAGCGGCTGGACGATGCCTGTCCAGCCGCTTCCACAGTGAATTCCTGAGGTATCAGGCCCGGCGGTCCTTCAGCAAATACCGAAGAATTCTTACCACCTCAAATCACTGTCTCTCATAAGAGCTAAAGCCATTGACCCTAAACCCTGACAATTGCGCGACTTACCCCGCGGCACGGCCACTCGCCCGGATTGAGCTTCAACACTGTCGTGTAACTCCAATTTTGTATCGATTGATGTGGCCTAGCTGCTCACAGAACTGAGGGACCATGCATACCGGTACTACCGCACGCAGACCCACCGCCGGTGCGCCAAGGCCCGGGTTCGGGAGCCAGCGGCTCACCTCAACCACCTGCTAACGTAGCCCCATTCTACCGAGATATATCTGCGACTTTAGTACTAGAGATGGTGGAGGAATACCCACCAATCACCACCGGTGCTACAATACTCCTCGCATCACGGCCAGCCGTTCCCCAGCATACAAGTACTTCATCCACTGGCCCCGCCGCAAGAAGACTATGAGCTCGGGGCCCGGTTCCTGATTCTTGGCTCGTGATAGGAGAGGCAATGTTCTTTGACTCGAGACGGTCGCCGGTGCTGGCGATGAACGGCATGGTGGCCACCAGCCAGCCCCTGGCGGCGCAGGCCGGGTTGCAGATTCTTATTAATGGGGGCAACGCCGTGGACGCAGCGGTGGCTGCCGCCGCCGTTCTGAACGTGGTTGAACCCGAGTCCACCGGCGTGGGCGGGGACATGTTTGCGCTGGTCTGGAAGGACAACGAGAAGAAGGTACACGCCCTGAACGGTAGCGGGCGGGCGCCGGGAGCAGCGTCCATTGAGGAGTTGAACGCCGCCGGCCACTACCGGATGCCGCAGGAGGGGCCCCATCCGTGTCCATCCCCGGCACCGTCCACGGGTGGGAGACGATACTGGAGGCCCACGGGACGATGCCGCTGGCGGAGGTGCTGAAGCCGGCCATCCGGTACGCCGAGGAGGGGTTTCCGGTCAGCGACTACATCGCCTACCAATGGTCGGGGCAGGGGCCGCGACTGTCGGCGCTGCCTTCGGGGCAGGAGATGCTGCTGAACGGGCGTCCGCCGCGCCAGGGGGAGGTGATGAAGCTGCCGACGCTGGGCAAGACATTGAGCGCGGTGGCCGAGGGCGGTTCCAAGGCCTTTTACCACGGGGAGATTGCGGAGAAGATTGCCAGCTTTGTCCAGGAACAGGGCGGGTGGATCACCACCGAGGACCTGGAGTCCACAACGTCGGACTGGGACGAGGCGATCAGCACCGACTACCGGGGGATTACGTGCTGGGAGTGCCCGCCCAACGGCCAGGGGATAGCGGCCCTGGAGGCGATGAACATCGTCGAGGGGTTTGACATCAGGGGCATGGGCCCGCAGACGGTCAACACCTACCACCACCTGATCGAGGCCATGCGACTTTCCTTCGCCGACGCCTACCGGTACGTGGCCGACCCGCGCATGGCCGACGTGCCCATAACGGAGCTAACAGACAAGGCCTACGCCGCCAGACGCCGGGAGTCGATCGATCCGGAGCGGGCCATGGCCCATGCCGCTCACGGCGACATTACGGGCTTTGGCAACAGCGCAGGTCCAGGAGGGGATACGGTGTACGTCAGCGTGGTGGACGGCCAGGGCAACGCCTGTTCCTTTATCAACAGCGTGTACATCAACTTCGGCAGCGGGCTGGTGGTGCCGGGCACAGGGATAGTACTGCAGAACCGGGCGGCCCTCTTCTCCCTGGAGCCCGACCACCCCAACGCGCTGGAGGGTGGCAAGCGACCATACCACACCATCATTTCCGGCCATGGCCACCAGGGACAATGAGCTATACCTGTGTTACGGAGTGATGGGCGGATTCATGCAGCCACAGGCCCACCTGCAGGTGATGTGCAACATGACGGACTTCGACATGGAGCCCCAGGCGGCTTTGAACGCGCTGCGCTTCCAGGTCATCGGCGACACCACGATAATAGAGGAAGGGCTGGCGCCGGAGGTCATTGGCGGGCTGAAGGGCCTGGGCCACCGCCTGGAGATGATACAAGGCCACGCCCGGGTCGGCATGGGCGGCGGGCAGGTCATCCAGCGCAACCCGGAGACGGGGGTGCTATGGGCCGGATCCGAACCCCGCAAGGACGGTTGCGCCATAGGCTTTTAGCCCAAACTCGTTAGTGCCGGTTTCTACGGGTGAGCAGCCCCGAATACCGACTATCTGCCGTGCACTCCTTAACGGATTAAAGACAGGGCAACCTTTGTGGTTGCCCTGTTCTCAGTTGGCACATCCACCGTGCGCCCTCACCGGGTTTGTATTATCATTGGGGCAAATAGCCATTCCATCTTTGAAGGCCCTTTTGAACTGCGGAAGCCTTGGAGGTTGATCATGAAGTACGACGTCATTGTGGTAGGTGGAGGCTCGGCAGGTTGCGCCATCGCCACCCGCCTGTCCGAAGACCCCGAACGTTCGGTCCTGCTGCTGGAGGCCGGGCCCCGACTACCCAGACTTCGAAACCCTACCCGAAGACCTGAAGCAGGGCAACAACGTCTGGCTGTCCGCATACGGCCCCCACAACTGGGGCTACACCGCCCAAATAACGCCGGAGCAGGGGGAACTGATCATCCCCCGAGGCAAGGCCACCGGCGGCTCCAGCGCGGTAAACGGGCAGGTTATGTTCCGGGGCATCCCCGAGGACTATGACCGGTGGGCCGAGTGGGGCAACGACGAGTGGAGTTTCACCGGCGTGCTTCCCTACTTCAACAAGCTGGAGACGGACCAGGACTTCGGGGGCGATGACTTCCACGGCACCAGCGGGCCGGTGCCGGTGCGCCGCTCGCCCCGCAGCGAGTGGATGCCCCATGCCCAGGCCTTCGAGCGGGCCTGCGTCGACCTCGGCTTTCGCATAGACGAGGACCAGAACCACCCCGAGTCCACCGGCATATCGCCTCGTGCCCGCAACACCATAGACGGCGTGCGGATGAGCATGTCCCTGACCTACCTGGAACAGGCCCGCCACCGCTTGAACCTGACCGTCAGGAGCGGGGTTACCGCCCGCCGGATTCTGTTTGAGGGCAAGCGGGCCGTGGGGGTAGAGGCCGAGAGCGGGGGAGAGGTCTTCACGGTGGAAGGCGAGCAGATTGTGGTGAGCAGCGGAGCCATTGGGTCGCCCCAGTTGCTGATGCTGTCCGGGGTGGGTCCAGCCGAACACATCAGCAGCTTCGGAATCGACGTGGTGCAGGACCTGCCCGGCGTGGGCCAGAACCTGCGGGACCATCCCTCGGCCGCCGTCCTTTACATGGCAACTGGGGAGAAGCCTGACGTGCAAGCGCCGGTGATCCAGGTGGGGCTGCGCTATACCGTTGAGGGCTCGGACCTGCGCAACGACATGCAGCTAAGTCCCATGCTGATGACCAGTGAGCACCGTCCCGCGCAGGTGGAAATCAACGACGATCTTAACTACATCGGCATGAGCGCCAGCCTGCAGTTGGCCCTGGGCAAGGGGGAGTTGACCCTGCAGTCGGCCGACCCCCACGTACAACCGAGGCTGAACTACAACTACTACCAGGAAGAGGAAGACCTGCGGCGGATGCGTGAGGCCATCCGGCTGGGGGTGCGGGTTGCCGAGCAGCCTTACTTCTCCGACCTGCTGCTGGAGCGCATCATGCCCACCGACGAGGAGTTGACTTCTGACGAGTTGCTGAACGACTGGCTCCGGCACAACTCGGGCACCTCCCACCACGTATCGGGCACCTGCAAGATGGGCCCGGACTCGGACCCCATGGCAGTGGTGGACCAGTTCCTGCGCGTGAGGGGCGTTGAGGGCCTGCGGGTAGCCGACGCCTCAGTGATGCCCGACTGCATCCGGGCCAACACCAACGCCACCACGCTGATGATTGCCGAGAAGGTATCGGACTATATTAAGGAGGGGAGATAGGAGGGTGAACCCCTGTCTAACCTGAGGTCACCGTCGGAAAAATAACGGAGCGCGACATGACTGTCCGCGCTCCGTTTTCCGTTCCGCCCCTGTATCAGTACTTGAACTCCTCGCGTACCGGGCTGAAAACATCCAGGGCCCTGCAGGGCTGGTCGAGGCCCTTGGCGTAGTGTTCCACGCCGCCGGGGATGATGTACATATCGCCCACCTTTAGCACCTTGACCTCGCCGCCGATGCCCATTTCCATTTCCCCTTCGACGACAATACCTCCCTGCTCGTGGGGGTGGGTATGTAGCGGTACAAGGGAATTGGCGTCAATCTCCACCAAGGACAGGAGCATGTTATCGCCCCAGTAGGTGCGGGTCCGGGCGCCGGGGGCCAGTTCTTTGGTCTCTCTTCCCTGGGAATATTTGAAATAGGACATGGTGATCTCCTTCATCTTGAATCTCTTCATTTAGACTGATCGAAAATAAGGCGTTGCGACGGCTTTGACAACATTCGGATGAGGCAACTATTCTAGCCGACAATCATGCCTCGCAAGAGGAGTTAGCAACGATGAAGATCGTCGGATATGTCGTGCTTGCCCTGGCTATCCTCCACCTGGTATTGGCCTTCTCTACCGGCTTTGTCGGCGCCTACGATACCGTCAGTCCCTGGGAACGCCTGATGCTGATAATTGTGCATCCGGCCGCCGCTGCCGCACTGTTGGTAATGCTGCTGAAACCGGAAACCCTGGACCGCTGGCTGACCAGGAACATTATTGGCATTTTGCTGGCGGTCAGCGTGGCAGGAGACCTGGGCGCCTTTCTGGAGATTCGGCAGGAGCCCATGGGATGGGAAGCGGGTCTGTCCCTGCTGTTTGCGGTGGTGCCCATAATTGGTCTTGCTTACGGTATATCCCTGAGAGTGCAGCAACTAAGGCCTACGGAATAGAGTCCGCTCATGGTGAACTCGTCGAGCCATTCTTCTTTTCGGCGGGCATCCTTGACAGGCTCAGGATGGGGGGTCCGGCGCTACCCTACATTACTCAAACCCCAGCTTGCGTTCGTTGAGGCTGACGTAGCGGCCGCCGCTGCCGATCACCAGGTGGTCCAGCAGGTCTATTCCCAGCAGCTTGCCGGCGGATACAAGCTCGCGGGTGATGCTGACATCTTCCGGGCTGGGTGTAGGGTCGCCGGAGGGGTGGTTGTGGGCCACGATGCTTGACGGAGCATTGTCGCGCACCGCCGGCCGGAACACTTCCGAAGGACGAACGATGGAACTGTTGACGTTGCCCACGTAGACCTCAACAGTGCTGAGCACCTGGTTCTTGGTGTTGAGCAGCAGCACCCTCAGATGTTCCTGCTCCAACGAAGCCATTTCAGCTTGCAGCAGGTTAGCCACATCCTGGGGCGAGTTTATCTGCGCCCGGTCCTGGGGAGCCAGGGAAATGAAGCGGCGGCCCAACTCCAGGGCGGCCATAAGCTGGCTGGCCTTGGCCTCGCTGAGTCCCCGTTCAGCGCACAACTCGGCGAAGGTACTGCGGCCCAGGCCGTCCAGCCCGCCGAAACGGCTGAGCAGGCGGTTGGACATAGCCAGCACATTCTCCCCCTGGATGCCGGTGCGCAGCAGGATGGCGATAAGCTCGGCGTTGCTGAGGTAGCGGGGGCCGTAGTCCCGAAGCCGTTCGCGGGGCCGCTCACCCTGGGGCATGTCCCGGATTTTAGGCTGATAGTTGGTTGAGAGTGACGGGTCCGCCTCGACCTGAACTGGAACGGTGTCCGGTGCAACTATGATGACCATCGGTGTCTCCCTGCGCCGGTTGCGCCGGGACATTGTGGGGCGGGCGGAGTTGCACACGCAATGGGCAAGTGTCAGTTACCCTCCCTTTCCCGGCCCCTCTCAACCCCATTGTCATTCTGAACGAAGAGAAGAATCCCAACTGTGGACTTTTACGTGGTTGCCAGTGCGCACGATGTCTGCCAAGTGACGGTTGGGATTCTTCGTCGCTGCGCTCCTCAGAATGACAACATTGGACTGTCGTGTCCTTCGTGGATCGAGAAAGCTACACGAACTGGTACTTGGAGTAGGCTCCCTCCTCCTTGGTGATGAACTCCAACAGGGCAAACTCGCCGGCCTCGTTGCGTTCCTGGACGCGGCGCATGGCCGGCGCAATTTCGTCGGGTTCGGTGATGCGCTCGGCGTAGGCGCCCATGGCCCGGGACATGTCGGCGTAATTGCCGCCAGTCTGCTTGATGTTGTAGCGGGCCACGGCGGTGGGAATGCGGCTGTCGGCGTAGATGGCCATGGTGCTGTTGTTCAGGACCACGGTGGTGATGGGTATACGCTCCCGAACCGCCGTCTCTACGTCCAGGCCCACCATACCGAAGGCAGTGTCGCCCATGAAGTTGATAACCAGCTTCTCCGGGGCGGCCAGCTTGGCGCCCATGGCCAGGCCCAGGCTGTAGCCCAGCTGGGTAGACTTGCCCCAGCCGATGAAGCTGCGGGGGGCGCGGGCCTCCCAGAAGGGCGAGACCTGCTCGCGGGGGCTGCCCGATTCGTGGGTAACGATGGTGTTGTTCAAGTCCACAGTGTGCATTATTTCCCAGATCACCCGGTAGGGGTTCAGGGGCACCTCGTCGGAAGTCAGGCGAGGCAGCCACTGGTCCAGCCACTCCTGGCGGGAAGCCTTGATTTCGTCGATCAACTCCTGGTTGGCGGGACGGGCCTGGCCGCCGGACTGCCGTTTTATCTCCTCAAGGAACTGGCCCAGCACCAACCTGGCGTCGCCCACCACCGGATAGTCGGCCTTGTAGTCCTTGTTGATGTCAGCGTCGGCGTTGGTGGTATGGATGAGAGTCTTGCCCAGCGGGAGGGGAGCGGTAAAGTTGCTCTTGATCATGCTGGCGCCAGCGGCGAACACCGTGTCGGCGCCGGTGAGGAAGCGGTGGACCTGGCCGGTCTGGCTGGATCCCCCGATGCCCAGGGACAGGGGATGGTTCTCGGGAAAGGCGCTCTTGCCTTCCAGGGTGGTCATTACGGGTATTTGCAGGAACTCGGCCAACTCCACCAGTTGGTCGGTAGCCTCGGCGTAGAGCACTCCCTGGCCGGCGGTGATGACGGGCCGCTGGGCGGAAAGCAGGGCGCGAGCAGCCCGGGCAACGGCTTCGGGGTCGCCGGCGGAGCGCAAGACCTGGGGTGGTTCGTAGTCGAACTGCTCCTCACCGATTTCCTCGGAGATGAGGTCACCGGGCATTTCCAGGAGCACGGGACCTGGCTTGCCGGAGCGCAGCTTGGTAAAGGCCTGGCGCATCAATTCGGGGACGCGGTCAGCGTAGTTAATCTGGGCCGTCCACTTGGTGATGCTTTCGTAGCTGCGGGTGGGGCTGAATACCGGGTCGATGCCCTGCCGGTGCCTGGCCGCGCCGGCCGGAAGGAGCAGAATGGGCACCGAGTCGGCGTAGGCCTGGGCGACGCCACCGAAGGCGTTTTCCGCGCCGGGGCCGGCCTGCATCAGGAAAATGCCGGTGCGCTTGCCGTTATTAATGCGGGAAAAGCCGTCGGCCATATGCACGCCGGTGCGTTCCTGGCGGAAGACGATGGGCCGGATGCCGGCGATGGCAGCGGCTTCGATGAGGGGATTGGAGGGCATGCAGCCGATGAAGTCCACCCCCTCCAGCTTAAGTACGTTGGCTATTGCGGTAATGCCGTCCATGGTGGTTTGTTCCTCCCGTTGAGAATGTTGCCTGCAAAGTGGCTTAGTTCGGACTTAATGCCCACCATATTACCCGTCTCGGGCCAAGGTGCCAAATGGCAAGTCAAACTTGGAGCAACGGCATCGGGAGGATCTTTCACCGTGGTGGCCAGAAGAGACGCGGAAGTACGCGGAGGCATTACTAAGAGGACAAGAACACTTTGGACAGCAAAGGAGAGGATATCGACTAATCGGTACCTGATGCTTCTTTGCTTCCCTTGTTGGCGGGAAACTCGCAATCTCTGATATGTTCCATCAGGACCTTGTTGATGGTTTCGTGCCGCTTCTCCGGGTCAGAGTCGGCTGACTCGAACCATTCTATGACGTACTTATCCAAAGAAAGAATCACTTCCTGCTTGACTGGCCGGTACAGGAGTCCGCGTTTAGCCTTGTCCCAGTCGAGTATTTCAGGAGCGTCGGAGGTGTCTATCGCGTCATCAGGAAGGTTTCTTATTGCTTCGAGATCCTCTTCTTGGTTGTCGGTGAATCGCATGCTAGCCCTCTTCATAAATTCCTCTTTCATTGGGAGTGGCCTTACGAGCGGTTATTATTCGTCCTGATTCCTCCTTTGACCCTGGCCAAGTGTGGACCACCAGAAATACTTCCCCCTCAATGCTACCCAATGAACGCCATCATTGTTCATCTGGGAAGACATCTTCCTGCATGAGCATAAATGGATCCAGGAAAACCAATTGTACGGTTTCGAACCCTACTTGATGCTTTCGCCAATTTTCTCTGTCCTTTTCCGGATCCCATGTCCAACGCATCGGCATTCCTCAAGTATGGGCAATTCTGAAGCAGTAACCACACTTGACCTACCCATCAGCTTCCCACAAGTACTCCACGTCATACTCCGCGACCAACACCCCCTCCTGGTTGTGGGCAGTTACGGTGAAGGTCAGGTACCGGCTGCCCTCCTTTTCGTGCTTGGCGGTAAGTTGGGTTTGGGCGGTAATGGTGTCGTTGGGGGTTACCAGGACTCCCTGGAAGCGAATGGCGATGCCGGTAGGGTTACGGGAAAGGTCGGCGGGCAGGGAACAGTCCCGCGCGGCGGCCACTTCGACCAATTGGGGTTGGGCGAAAGACAGGACCATGGCCGGCGGGGCGACGATGCCGGGAAGTCCGGTTTCCCGGGCGGCTGGCTGGTTGGTGTAGACCAGGTTCTCGTAACGGGCCGCTCGACAATAGGCGGCAATCTGCTCGTCAGTTACTTCAACGGTATGCGGCGACGCGGTGTCGCCGACTGTGGCCTTGTCCCACGTGTACGTCATGGGAGGTAATTTAACACAGTAGGGAAGGGTTGGCAGGAGGCTATGGAGTGGATTCGGGTGTATAAGACCAGGCAACTACCCGCTGTGGGGTAATCTTGATTACCGGGTTATAGTCGATGTCCATTTCCCGGTATTGGGGGTATTTCTGGCGGAGGAGTTGGATGGCGTGGCGGCGTTCGTCGATTGCGTTGCGTCTTTCGACAGGCGCAGGATGAACGGACAGGTTCTCTGCCTCATCATTTTCGTTTTCCACAGGGTCGTCCAATTCCAACAGTTCCGCTCTACCCGTTAACAGGATGTACCAGAGGTGGGTCCAGTCGGCGTCGTAGTGGTCCACCACCAGGGCAACCCGGGGGTTTTCCAGGATGTTGCGGACACGGCGCAGGCGGGTTAGTGCAGCCCGCTTGGGTTTCTGGTCCAGGACGATGTAGATTGGGCTCTCCTCTGCCTGAGGGTCCAGGGCAAAGCATACCGGTATTACGTGGGGGGCGCCAGACTTGCTGGCGGTGGAGAGGTGGCCGACGGGCGCTGATGCCAGAAGCCGGGCTTGTTCGTGGGAGAGTTGGAACAAGGTTTTGTGCCTTTCCTTGCGGGAGTCTTTCGACAAGCTCTGGATGAGCGGATGCCCAATTACTTTACGCCCGCAGGTGAACTGCTGAAGCTGGCACCGGAAGGAAGAGCGCCGGCTAAACTTCCGGGGCGAAGGCCATGGGGTCTTCCAGGAACACCACGTTATCGAGGGCGGCCAGTGCCGCCTCTTCCAGAGATACGTCTCCCTCCTCTATGCAGCGCAGCAGCGCCCCCTTGGCCAGAGGGCCGCCTATTTTCCCCAGGGCGTTAAGGCACGCTACCTGCACATCGAAGTCGTCGTCTTCCAACAAGCCTATCAAGTGGGGAACCACATCCTCCTCGCCGAGGTCGCCGCAGGCATTGGCCGTCTCGTAGCGGAGGGCCGGTTCCTGGTTGTCCAGTTCTTCAATGAGCGTGGGGAGCCAGCTAACGTCGCCGGTGCGGCCCATGGCAAATATGGCGCTGGACTTTAGCATCAAGTCCTCGGTCTGGTAAGCCCAGCAAACGTAGTCACGGATGTCGGGCGTGTTGAAGGGCGCCACTGCTTCCAGGCTGCGGCGGCGGACTTCCAGGCTTTCATCCGTGTCATGCAGGAGGGCCATAAGAGTATCGCGGATGTTGCTTACGTCCCCTGGAAGCAGGTGTCCCTCCTGGGCCAGGACGCAGAATTTACCCAGGGCGGCGGCAGCGGCGGCGCGCACGTCCGGCCCCCGGTCGGAAGTCAATACCTGGATCAACCCCGACAGGACAGACCGGTCTTCGTATTCCCACAGTCCATCGATGGCCTTTTCGAGAACCCATTCATCGTCGTCTTTGAGGCACATCTTGAAGACTGTACAGAAGTCGAGCTCCGCGCTGTCCTCGGCCAGCTCAACCATGGTGGCGATTATGGCTCGCTTCCGTACCTGGGAAAGCCGGAACCAGGAGCGGGCGAAGACGCCCAACTCGGCCGGCGACAGGTCGGAGATCTCGATGAAGTCGGAGTTAATCAGGGGGACTGACGGGTCGGCAAGATCTTCGAGGAATTTTTCCAGAGGCATGACACCCCCTCACACTTTCCGTACTTAAACGGCCGCCGGAGGTGGGCGGACGCTGCGTTCAGACACAACTTTGTAGCTGAGGATGTATTTAGAGTATAACATAAGGCTCCCGGTCAACAGCCGTCCCGGATACCAGTTTCGGGCATTTTGGGATTATGTGCACAGGCAGCCGGCTGGAGTGCCTCCAAACGCAGCCCCAAACGTAGCATTGTAGCGGGCATTGCACCTATACCCGGAGCGCACTCTGGTGAGCAGAAAGGTTGACTGCGTTCAGCCTGGCCGGAGGGAATTGATGGTCAGCGGCAAGGCTTCAGACACTTCCGAGGCCAGCAGGCCGACGGGGCCCTGTGCGGAGGTGACGGCTGCCGCCGCCTGACCGTGCAGGTACACGCCGCAACCGGAAGCATCGAAGGGAGCCAAACCTTGAGCCAGCAAGCTGCCGATAATGCCGGTCAGCACATCTCCGGTGCCTCCGGAGGCCAGGCCGGGGTTGGCAAAAGGGGATAAACGCACCAACCCTTCATACTGCTCTCCATTGGTTGAGGGTACTGACGGCTCAGCTACAGCGGTAAAGGCACCTTTCAGTACGACCACGGCCTGCCATTGGGTGGCCCACTGCCGGGCCATTGCTGCGCGGTCCCGCTGCACCTCCAGCGTGGAGAGGCCGGTAAGAGTAGCCATTTCGCCGGGATGGGGAGTCAGAACCAGCGGGCCGGAGCGTCGTTGCCACCAGTCGGGCAGACGGGCCAGGTTGTTCAGGCCGTCGGCGTCCACCAGGGTAGGGATGGTTGAAACCGGTCCGTCCACAAGCAGCCCTTCGATAAACGCCAGGGTATTTTCGGACTGGCCCAAGCCACTGCCCACGGCCAGCGCATCGTAACGGGTCAGGCCTTCATGGATAACCTGGGCAGCGTCGGCATGCACCCGGCCCTCGGCGTCCTCGGGCAGGGGCAAGTGTATGGTCTCGGTAAGCTGGGAGGCCACGATGGGATAGACGCTTTCCGGCGTGGCCAGGGTTACCAGCCCGGCTCCGGCGCGGTGGGCTGCCCGGGCCACCAGGCACGCCGCTCCCACAAAGTTGCGGGAACCGGCCACCACCAGCAGATGGCCGTAGGTGCCCTTGTGGGAGTCCAACGGGCGTGGTGGTATCTGAGAACTGACCCAATCGACAGTCAATAGTTCCAGGGAAATATCATCCTGGCCCACACCATCGGGCAAGCCAATATCCAGGGTCACCAGTTCCCCCACCCGCTCGGCGCCGGGAAAGGCCAGCAGCCCGGCCTTGGGAAAGCCGAGGGCCAGGGTGGCGTCCATGACGGGAGTAGCGTCGTCTACGGCGCCGGTGTCGGCATTCAGCCCGGTGGGCAAGTCGAGGGCCAGCAGCAAGGGACGGCGACTACGCTTGCGAGTAGCGGCCACCCGCAACAGAACTTCCCGCACCAGTCCCTGCAAGGGGCGGGAACGGCCGGTGCCCAGTATGGCGTCTATGACCAGGCGGCTGCGAGCGAGGAGGCCGTCAAGAAATTCGACCTCTGTATCTTCGCCCAAAGCCAGTACGGACACGCCATAACTGCGAGCCAGATCAGCCTTGGGGTCGGGGTCAGGACGACTGGTCAGCAGGCAGGCGGTAACCTCCGCACCCCACCGGCGCAGGTGCCGGGCCACCACCAGGCCGTCGGCGCCGTTGTTGCCGGGACCAACGAGGACCACTACCCCGGCGCCAGCCACGCCGCCCATTCGCTGGCGGGCTTCCAGGGCTACCGCCAGGCCGGCGTTCTCCATGAGGGTGTCGGTGCTGGTGCCCTGCCGCTCCGATTCCTGCTCCAAGGCGGTCATCTGGGCAGCGGTTACCACTTTCAGGTTGGCGGACACTGCCCTTCACGCCGGGCCCCTCTCCCCACGGGAGAGGGGGGAAGATTGCTCGTCGCTCGGCGGTGCAGATTCAAGTTGAGGGGACGAGTCGCACTGGGTTACCACGAAGGCAACGGCGTACTCGCGGGAGTGGGAAATGCTAAGGGAGATTTCCTGGACGCCCAGCCTTTCGGCGCGGGCTTTGGCGCGGCCATGAAGCACAATTGACGGGGCGCCGCTGGGGGCCCGAACGACTTCAATGTCCTTCCAGGCCACGCCCCGAACTCCGGTGCCCAGGGCCTTCATGGTGGCTTCCTTGGAGGCGAAGCGAGCGGCCAGGTTGGGGGGGCGTTCGCGGCAGTACTCTATCTCGCCGGGGGTGAATATACGGCGCAAGAAACGCTGGCCGTACTGCTCAAGCACCCTCGCAATGCGGGGTATCTCGATGATATCAACGCCGGTGGTCAGTTGGGTCATCGTCTTATACCCTCACCCCCGGTCCTCACCCAGAGGACGAGGGGAACCAGACTTACCCAATCCGCAATGAAAAGGAGTTGTTAACCCGAAAGCTGGACTAGTCGGGAGCGGCGTGGCCGGGCAGGTTCAAATTGGCCAGGATCCGGGACACTGAGTAGCTGCGATTGAGGACGTAGAAGTGGATACCCGGCACCCCATTCTCCCATAGCTCTTCCACCTGCCGGGAGGCGAATTCCACGCCCAATTCCCGCACCGCATTGTCGTCCTCGGCATACACTTCCAGCTTGCTGTCCAGTTCCGGTGGAATGGAAGCGCCGCATAGGGAGGTAAAGCGACGTATCTGGGCCGTGTTGAGAATGGGCAGCACCCCGGGGATGACAGGAACGTCTATACCGGCCTTTTGCGCCCGCTCCATAAACTCGAAGAAGTAACGATTATCGTAGAAAAGCTGGGTTATCAGGAAGTCGGCCCCCCGGTCCACTTTTTCTCGAGCAAAACGAATATCCCAGTCCAGGTCAGGGGACTCGGTGTGGCCTTCGGGATAGCAGGCGGCGGCCAGGCCAAAGTCGAAGTTGGACCGGATGTGGTCGATCAGTTCAGTGGCATGACCAAAGCCGCCTTCAGTCGGAACGAAATCTTCCTGGCCCCGGGGCGGGTCACCGCGCAGGGCAATGACGTTTTCGACACCGGCCTCGTCCAGGCGGCCAAGAACCTCGTTTACCTCTTCGCGGGTCTGGGCCACGCAGGTCAGGTGGGCCATAACCTCAAGGTCGGTTTCCTGCTTCACCTGCATGGTAATGCGTTCGGTGAAGGCGCGGGTGGAGCCACCGGCGCCGTAGGTAACAGATACGAAGTCGGGGTTGAAGGCTCCAACCCGGTCAATGGCGCGAAAAACGGCGGGAATCCCCTCCTCTTCCCTGGGTGGGAAGAACTCGCAGGAGACGGTGCGTTTTTGCTGGAGAATTTCACGTATTTTCACGGTGGTGGTCCTTATGTCTGCTGTGGGGCAACGGCGGGAGGGCGTTGTTCCATAGGTGGGCGCCCGTTATCCAGCCTGTCCCGATCGGGGTCACTGGTTGGCTGTTCCAGGGAACGAATACTGGCTTCTACTGAATCGCTGACAAAGGGCGAAACATAGTCAGACGCCAGAACTGGTTCTAATCGAGCAATGAAGTCTTCCGCCGCTTCAATAGCACGTTCGACTTCACGTGCAGTGTACTCGTGAAGATAGAAGTTAAAATGGGCCACTCGAGCCACTGAATAAGAACCCATAATAGAGGGATCACCAAGCTCGTCCTCTACTATTAAAACTGCCCTTCGCAACTTCCAATCGGCCTCGCTGAACCACCGACGCTTTTCGGCGACGGCCTTGATGGCGTGGGCGGTAGTGCCCCAAGCCTTTTCAGAGGCCTGGAGCAGGTCGCCATTCTCCAGTTCTTGCCGCGCCTTGACCAGAAAATCGTGGCTTATCATGGCGTGGCGTTCCGATTCTTCGTCGGGTAAGGGACCGGGAGCTGTATTCAGAGGCAGAGTCATAGAAGTTTCCTGGATATGGTTTGGGGGTATTTTAACACATGCCCCTGCTAGGCCTCGGGCTGCTCGTTGTCCGCAAGGAGGCCGTTGGCTTCGCGGTAGGCTTCGGTGAGGGCGGCCAGGAGTTCGCCAGATATAGGACTCTTTACATAAACATTGCCAAGGCCACTCAGACGTGAGTTTTCACGATCCAACTGCCGATCCAACAATTTCGATGCTTTAGGAGCAAGTTCCTCAAACATGCTCCGGTCAAAAGTAATCGAGGGACCACTGGGATCATTCCAGATTGTCACTCTCCTTCCTTTAACCAAAACGATTACGCCTTAATCCCCAATCACGAAAGGATTGCGTCATGCCGATTGTTGGAAGGGAGACGGGGTTAATGGATGGCGGGGCCTTGATCTCCCTTGGATATTGCTGGGCGCGGGGGTTGGAGGCGCTACCAAGGGAAAGTTGACGGCCCGGGGTGGCGGTGAGGGGCGAGACCGGCGGGTCGGCACCCGCGGGGAAACAATCGCGGACCGGTGTGGGGCGACTCAGTGGGTAAATTCGGTTGTCCGGCGGGCGGTCCGGTGGCCCACGGC